CCCCCCAAATCTGGTCCGGTTGGTATTCTTGTTCTGCTTAAACCCTCCCGTTTTATTTTCCTTCTTGGCCCTGCACCTGACTCCCTTAGTCAAACACCTTTACCGTTTGTTTTTCTCACCCCAAGACTTAGCTCGCTCAAGTCACGATTTTGTATTTTCACTGAGAATGTGACCACGTTATTAACAGTGTTTTTTTAATGCCCTTGACAGCTCCTGCCTAATTGGTAAGCGCTGTTAATGCTGACGGACGTACATTAGCCTCAGCGGTGCCCGGTTGCTGGTCCGCCTCGTTAGCTAGCACCTGGGAGACCACAGAGTGGTCCAGCGGTTGCCGGCAGCGTTTAATTAGATGCGAGGACCTGACACCGAGTCCGTTGTCCGCTGTGCACAGCGGCAGCTTGTGTCTGGGGGAGGGGGCAGAGCCGGCGGAGGTGCCTCGTGGCAGGGCTGGGGTTCGGGCTTGGCCTTTGCTCTGGGCGGCAGGCTGATAGACCCTTCTTTCTGCAGCGTGGGCTTCCTATATGACCAATTCTCCTACCCTGATCGTGATGATTGGCCTGCCTGCGCGAGGCAAGACGTACGTGTCCAAGAAGCTGACCCGCTACCTCAACTGGATCGGAGTGCCCACCAAAGGTGCGTGCGAGGTCCTGCGCTGGCTGGTGTGTGTCGGCGCCCGGCTCAGGGGGCCAGTGGTGAGACAGGGACCTGGTTCTGCTCTTTGCCTAGAACAAAGTGAGGTTTGTCTATGAAATGCTGTCAGTCTCACGTGTTCTTTTGTGTGTGTGTGTGTGTGTGTGAAGTATTTAATTTAGGAGTATATCGCCGTGAGGCAGTGAAGTCTTACAAGTCCTATGATTTCTTCAGGCATGATAACAAAGAAGCAATGGAAATCCGGAAGTAAGTCTGCATCAAAGCACCTCACTGGTCATAACAGTCTAGTTGTTCTAAGGTTTTTGCAGCCTGTTTGTCCGAGCAGCACAAATAACACTTAATAACCACGAACAGTGATGGGAGTAGATACCGCAGCCCGTTCAGTAACCCTGCTAAATGGTTTGTGTGTGGGGATTTTGTCATTTACTTCAGGAGAAACCGCATAGCACAAAGAGCACAGACTATGAATGCCCAAAGATGTATCTAACCTACTTTATGTTTTATTCAATTTGCGTATGATCTTATTAACTGACCAGGTAGCAGGCCTAGGGTCGATTTTTTGCTCTCAAAATCTTCCTATGTTAGCATGAGGACACCCGAAGCTAGGACTCTGCAAAGAGTCTCTGACTACAGAAACAACAAAAGTGCTCTTAAAACACGGACAAGGGTATAGAAAAGGACTCAGTCCTATAAAGCCTCCAGGGCTGTTGGAAAGCTGTGGGGGGGCCCCGCAGGGACAAAGAGAGAGGAGATACTTAAATCTTTCCCCATATTAGTGCCAGAGCAGTGATTCAGAAGACTTAGAATCTGAATGTTTTACATCAGCTGTGACAGTACCTGTTTCTCTCCTGCAGACGGTGTGCCTTAGTGGCTCTAGAAGATGTGAAAACTTATCTCATGGAGGAGTGCGGACAAATAGCTGTAAGACATTTCTGGACTAAACCTATGGTGGTTTCACACCTGATTTTCTCAAAGCTGTCCAGGGGGTTTGGTACCCTGATTGTAATCTTTGGGACTGGTTTAAAAGCATTACATAAAATTGCTCATTGCTGCTTGCTTACTTTCTGGTAGGTGTTTGATGCAACCAACACAACTCGAGAAAGGAGGGATCTGATCTTAAATTTTGCTAAAGAAAATGCTTTCAAGGTAATGGTCCTATATTTAATGTGTAATCAGAATTGGTGCACTGAGTTCCCCCTGGAGTATTTCCCCTGTGCGCTTTGGTTTGGTGCCTCTGGTAACAAATTTGGACTGTTATCTCTGTAAAACTTAGTTTCTGTGCTTTGGAAATTGCCTTTGATTTCATCCAAGAACACTTAATTCCCAAGGGTTCTGAGGAACCTGGCTGTTACCAGTCTCCTTAGAAAAACATCCCATGGGCTGCACTGAAAGAAGGGGAAAAATTTGGTTTTGGGGCAAAGCAGAGTGAGCTAAATTCATCCCCAGGGTAATTCTCTTTGTTGTTGTTGTTGTTTTATTTGGTTTTATTTGAGAGCTGTGTTAACATTACCGCTCTTGAGTAGTAACTCTTGATTTTTTGATTCAAGATAGAGTTGTTGATTCTCTGAAATAATGTTTCATTGCCTTCTCTGTAGGTGTTTTTTGTCGAGTCTGTCTGTGACGATCCAGAAGTCATTGCTGCCAATATCCTGGTAGGTGGTACATTTTCCAGGGTCAGCTGACAGTGTCCTACTCGAGGAGATTTGATGTTTTTTGGGGAAGTAGCTTAGAGGAGATTTGATGTTTTTTGGGGAAGTTCACCATCTACTGTAGCTTACAAGAACACCTGCAGACTGTTGGTAGTAGAGATATGCCTAACTCCAGGGAGGTTTGAATCCCAGTCTGAGCTTTACTGAATGTGGCTGTTAAGTTTATGTTAGGCTATGCTTGCTCGCTCGCGCGCGCGCTCTCTCGCTCTCTCAGTAGAAATTTCCTTCCCATTTCTGGTTACAACCAGGCATGGTTGTAGTGTCCTGGCTTGTCAGCTTGGTGGCCCTCCTGCAAAGGGAAACCGCAGGCCAAAGCTCTGCGGTTGTCACCTTGTTATTTTAGTCCTGTGTGAAGTGCAGGGAAAGGAGTACCCGTTTCTAACAATGTGTGCATTCTAGTGTGCATGAGAACCCTGTTCTTATGTTTCACTTAGAATATAAGCAGTTAACATTCATAGGTTTACGAAAACCAAAGGTGCAGTTGTTTACCTAAGAACGTGGAAATGAAATGAAGCCATGACATGTTTGACCTTGAAGCATGTTTCTGTTGTCATGGGAAGATATGCAGTAAGTGGCTTGCAGGGGAAAAATAAAAGGCAACTCAGCTGTGTTTGTACTGGGGGCCAAGTGCTACAGCATGCCCTTTAGAATTGCCTTTTGTTTCCTTTCCAGGAGCAGGTCTTTCACAGGGCAATGTTAAACAATGTTTTTTTTTGTTTCAAAATAGAAGAATAGAGTTATTCAGCATTGCTTTTGCTCCGTGTAGAGTTTGCTTAACTTTTACAAAGCGTCACTGTCTGTTGTGCAGGAAGTGAAGGTCTCCAGCCCTGACTACCCAGAGAGAAACAGAGAGAATGTGATGGACGATTTCCTGAAGAGGATAGAGTGCTACAAAGTTACCTACCAGCCTCTTGATCCTGACGAGTATGACAAGTAAGAAGCCATGTCCTACAACGTATTTTGTCCTTGCTCATGCGTTTGTGCGCAGGAGTGCTGCTTTGCTCTGTCACTCTTGTTCTCTGGCTCACGATGATGTAATGCTTGTGCTGAAGCCTCTGCTTTCCCAAAATGAGATTGCTCGTGAGAAGACGATACCTTCAGGTCCCAAGTGAGTTGAAAGGCTTTTTCTCTAGTGTATTGCAGTGCAATAGAGATCCTTGCTTAAACACAGCAGTTCAGTGTCTCCTCTGTCTGCTGAAGCAACCAAGTGGTAGTGCTGATGCCTTTATTACAGGGTAAATAGCTAGATTACACCCGCATATGCACGTGTTTCATTTTTAAAACCAGTCGTGTGGGTGTTCTTATTTTATGTTGACTCCAGAGATCTTTCCTTCATTAAAGTGATCAATGTGGGACAGCGGTTCCTAGTAAACAGAGTCCAAGATTACATCCAGAGTAAAATCGTCTATTACCTAATGAACATTCATGTCCAGCCGCGTACCATCTACCTTTGCCGACATGGTGAGAGTGAATATAATCTTGTTGGCAAGATTGGTGGGGATTCTGGTCTGTCACCACGTGGGAAGCAGGTATGTTTTTGGCAGCAGCCAGATTGCTGTATTTTTGAAGTGTCATGTGAACACAATCAGAACCTGGCTTTGCAGCTGATTCTTTGTGAGAGCGCGTAGGTACGGTCCTGTGGAGTTTATTCTGGTCACGCCAACAAAGAGATCGACCAGCCTCTCAATCAGAACAATTAAATAATTCTTTTTAATCGCAGCAGTTACTCCTGCTATCTCCTAATCTCCTCTTACTTTTTCTAGTTTGCTCAGGCTCTGAAGAAGTTCATCGAAGAGCAGGAAATTGCTGATCTGAAGGTTTGGACAAGCCAGCTGAAAAGAACAATTCAGACAGCTGAGTCTTTGGGGGTCACTTATGAGCAATGGAAGATCCTGAATGAGATTGATGCTGTGAGTAAGGAGGCTGGAGGGGGAGAATGGCTCAGAAATACTGATTGAAGTCTTTGAGTTCTCTAGATTAAAACATAACTTTAAAACAAACTCACCATAATAAACCTAACTATTTCCTGATCATCAGTCAGACCTTATAACCATGTCTGTGTATAATGCGCTCCAGTCGTCATTATCATGAGGTACAGAATAACTTGATACAGAGCTGAAAACGTCTGTAACTGTTAGACCTTGCTGTAGACATGTCCAGCTTTTATTAGAATAGAAAATCAGCACTCAGGATACCAGGCACTTGTAACGCCTGACTGTAGTACAGTTCTTGTAGATGGACAAAGGTTAATATTCCCACTGCAATTCTTTCAGGCAAAAGAAATTGTAAGATTGTTGCCGTGGAAATGACTGCTTGTTCTCACCCCTTGCAAACATTCTGAAATAAAAACAAAGACCATGGCCCTGAAACGTAAACATGTTGTCTTAAATTATAAACGAGAAAACAAGTGGTAATAATTTATAGGAGAACGTCTGTCAGTTTTCCTGGGTGAGTTCTCTGGCGTTTCCAGATCGCTCAAATGGTTCATGCTGTACTCTCAAACTGATTGCTTTACCTTTTGGCACTTTGTTTTGGGGTCGGGGGAACAGGTTTCATCTGACCTCCAAAAAGCCTCACTGAACACTCTCTTGTCTTATCAGGGCTCAAGTGCGGGGTTTAGAGATGGGATCTCTCGCTCTTTCGGCTGTGGGGTTTGGCTGCATCTTAAGATGTAGTGTTTGCTTACGCTGCAGATAAAGCGTAGATAGTTCGTCCTTTTCAAACCAGCCTGGATGTAAGGTGACGTACAAGTGCTAGGTTTCTGAATTCCATATGGCTATGTCGGTTATGACACTTGCCACATAAATAAAGGGATTACTGATCTTAACCGCTTGCTTTTTTTTTCCTGTTACATTGTCTTTCATTTGACAAAATGAACTCTGTTGTAACAACCTCCTCTTCCTTCAGGGGGTATGTGAAGAAATGACCTATGCGGAAATTGAAGCCAAGTATCCAGATGAGTTTGCCTTGAGGGATCAAGAGAAGTATCTTTATCGCTATCCTGGAGGAGAGGTGAAGATGCGTAGAAATAATAATAAAATACAATATATGCAGAACAAATAAAGGGTTTGTAGAATTGAAGGTTTTTAATTGATTTTATCTTTAATTCTCCCCAGTAGTTATTTGGGAAATTATTGAAAATATTGGGATACCCAATTCAGTTTTAGATGAAAGGTTTATTGATTTCCTTCATAGTGCTGTGTAAGCAATACCACTCAGTTGTGTTAATAGGGCCACCTTATGACTCCCTAGAAACTTTCCTCTAATACAGAGGGGTTTCTGCACGGACCTCATCGCTTGGCTGAGGCTGGACTTGTCACTGTGAAAAACAGTCTTGGGAAGAAAATGATGTGGGTGGGGTACACAGTCATTTCTGGTTTTACTTCACAAACCCTTTTAAATGTATAATTTAGTATTTTATTTGTTTTTCTTACTGCGTTCATTAAAAGTTGAGTAATCTGAATCTTCCTGTAATCTGAGGGTTGCCAACATGAAATTTTACCTAGCGTTGTTTGTTTTGCTTTTCCTGTATTTACTGAATCATCCATGACTTCTGCATTTTAGTATTTTCCTGAATGTGACGTTGTCTTAAGTGCTGCTTCTTTTTTGAGACTCTGTGTTTATAAACCCTTGAAAAATTCCTATATTTTATTTTCCAGTCCTACCAGGACTTGGTACAGCGCCTGGAGCCGGTAATTATGGAGCTAGAACGTCAGGGCAATGTCCTCGTTATCTCCCACCAGGCGGTTATGAGGTGCCTCTTGGCTTATTTTCTTGACAAGAGTGCAGGTACAAAAATAAACACATGATGTTATAGGCCAGTTTATTTTTGCTTCCTTTATAGAGTTTTTGGGAGGGTGGCTTATAATTGCTGTTTTGATTTCCTTATGAAGGAGAAGCTATTTTAAAAAAAACAAAGCAAAAAAAAAAACCCCAAAACTGAACTTGAACCATTGCATTTCAGCAGTACATGGTGCTTTGCAAGAAGCTCTCTTTCCAAGGTCGCTGAAATGCAGGGGAAAAAAGGCAGTTCAAGTCCTTTCCAAACATAGCCTGCTGCTTTTCCACACAGCCATTGTTTCTGGAACTGTTTCAACTAGTAGCATTCACATAATCTTCATAGGATTTTTGTTTTCCCTTTTTTCATTTAAAGGAAAATGTTTTCTGATATACCAGTAGCCTGTGAAAATTGTGAGGGTTGGCAATAGGCCTACGCTTTTGAGAAATGCATCTATTAGACAGTATACTGTACTGTAAATTAGTTTCCTCATCTGTTACAAGTTCCTTTATTAAATTTCAGTGAGTCTCATAATTGCTTTTTGGTTCAATTCATCCTTTTTTTTGCAAATAGCAATATTTGCTGATTGGCATGGAGTTATATATATTCATAGACTCATATTTTGTGAAAACAATACTGTTTAAAGTTGCTCAGAGAAAGGAAATGATTAGCCAGCCTAAATGCCAGAATCTATGGCAAAATCAAAATACTGTTTGAGGATACTGAAAACCAGCTGAATATAAGAAATTTGCCCCTATGATCTTTATGATCTGCAAAGCAGAGAGCTACATAACTCCGAGTGCTTGGGTTTTTGTAGCAAGCGCTTTGTTGCAATAGATATATTTTTTCGTAGGTGTGCTGTTAGAGCTAGTTCCTCTGGATGGCACTATACATTAAAAATAGAGTATACGCTTATTTAGACACCTGCTTGCCCTAGGATGTGCGCTGGCACTAATGGATGAAAATCCATGTACTATTGAAGTCAGGAAGGGTTAGCTACAGCTTATGGTTGAGGGGTAGAGGTAGATGGTGGTCCATAGGGGCGTGTAGCATCTGCAGCAGGCCTCTCTGGTCACTGAGAGGATGCAAACAGGGCACTGGGCAATGAGCTTGTATATTTGAAATTAAATATTTGTTATTTGAAATACGAAGACCCCAGTCCTGGCAGGAATTGACCCACTTGTCACACTTTAAGCATGTGATGCATCTGTTTGAACTTGGTGAAACTACGCAGAGACTAAGAGTTCGATCTGTGGCTTAGGCCATAGCAGAGTCTAGTCGCAGTTTAGTCCCATACCTTTCCGGTAATCTTCTGTGCTCTCCTGGTTGCATGCAATGTTTAACTCCTCCTGGTTTTATCCTAGATGAATTACCATATCTGAGGTGCCCCCTTCATACCATATTCAAGCTCACTCCAGTTGCATATGGTAAATACTCTCTTTTTTCTGGTTTATGTGAGTGTGTATGAAAGACAGGCAAGTTTGTATCTATGTGCAGAAGCAAAAGGACTTGCTGTAAATAACTTAGGTAATGTTTTTAATGTTATAAAAAGATACTGACTAGTGGGAGTTCTCTGAGGGGACAAGGGAGAGGCAAACATACGACTTTGGATTTGTGCGTACATGACTGTTGTCCAGTGGCTTCTCTTTTAAATAAATGACATTTTTCTGTGGGGTTTTTTTGTTGACGTAGATGCCTGCTTGTTCCTTCAAGCCTGGATTTGCCTGTGCAGTGAAATAAAAATGTTTTTTAAGTCTGTACATACAATTCATATAACACGTGGCTGCCTGTAAGTTGTAGCTGTACTTTCAAGGTGAAAGTCAAAAGTGAGGAGTAATTAAAGTGTAAAATCCTCTATTAATACAGGCTGAACTGTTATTTATTTTTGAGTTTGGTTTTTAAAAAAGTAACAGATTTATTTCTGCTCACTTCATGAATACTTTGACAGTATTATTATTTTTTAAATAGTTGATTATAAAATAAAATACATTTCCTCCTGTAACTTTATCTTTCTTTTTGGTAAAGGTTGTAAAGTGGAAACAATTACCCTGAATGTTGAAGCAGTAAACACTCACCGCGACAAACCTTCTTTGAATTCAGTAAGTCCTGCTGCTGAATTCTGGCTATTTCAAAGTCTTTGCCTTCTTCAAAAATAAATGAAACTTGTTTAACAATCACTGTAGATTGTTAAACACCTCTTAGAAATGCTGACTTCTTTCAAGTGACCTGAAAGATATGCTTTAGAAATATAGTCCCCAAAGGTAGGATTGATTATGTGTAGAATTTATCAGAAACTTAGTTTGCTCCCCAAAACAGTGGGAGACGCTTTTTAAAAAAAAACAAAAAAAAAAAAACCAGAATTGTCAAACTGAAATCATTTTTGTTAGGACACACATTTTAAATTCACGGTCTTTTTCGCAGTTTTTAATGAAGTATTTGTTGCTGATGCTTATTATTTGTATTAGAAGTGTGATCATTTCAAAAAGGCATGTCGAAATATTAGAAGTGAATTTTTTTCTTGTCTTCATGAGCTTTCTCTTGTTTATGAAGTCATAAGTAGGATTAGGCAGGGCTTTGAGGCCATGCAAATCCTTCAAGTGTGTGGTTTTTTTTTTCTTGGTGGCTTTTATCAGTGTTTGTAGTCATCAGGACAAGGTTGTTGCTGTGTCTGTGTTTTATGTAGAAAGCTAAAAGTACAAGACTCATTCCTTAGTTAATTCAACAGAAGGACGCAATTGACTAAGTTGTTTGTAGTTACCTGAGAGAACTGGATACTTTTTTTCCTTTGCCCTTGTCTCTTGAGATTTCACGTTCTTTGCAAGTATTCTGTGCAAATAAAGACCTGGGTGAAACTAAACTACCTATCAAAATGTAGGGAACAGAAGTAGTTTCGAGTCAAATTTATCTCCCATGCACTACAAATCTTATAGTAGTAGCGGATATGTTATTGACTTTAGTGACTAGAGTCATTACACTAGTTTTATTTATCTAAGTAATGAAGGAGATAGGACTTTATAAACATTCAGCCCTCTACCTTGTTCAGTAAAGCTCGTAAGTATGTGCTAGATCTGTAGAAGTTGCTACTATTTTAGGTGTTCACTTTTACAAACATAATTTTGTTTTGTTTTGCAAGGACTAATCTCTCATAGCAGCTGCAGGCATCAGGGGATGCTGTTTAGCAATTGCCTGCAATTAGGCTCCCCCAATTAAAGGCCATGAACCAAACTTATACTTTGTTAGCTTACAGTAAACTCAATGCGAATTCATCACATTTTAAGTTCTTCTGCAACATTTCAGCTTTTAGTTGCCTTTCATCTTTGTAGGGGGGTTTTATAAAGAGCTCCACAAGTGAAAAGAATTCTCTGCTAATTGCTTCTAATAGTTAATTTTGCCTTCTAGCTTGAGGAAGACAGCACTAACAGCCCCATATGCCAACAGAATCATAAACAATAGATGGAAAAAATCTGCACGTGTGGTGATGGGCTTACAAAGCTAAAAACTGGCTGGCCACAAAATGTTGAATGATGACATTCAGCAAGATTTTTGTGGCTAGTAGCATTTTGGTGGTTTCTAGTTGCGGCATTTATTGCTTTGCTACTTCTATATAATTCCTGTGTTGAAATCACTGATGCTTGCTTGGAGAAGTTAGAAGCAATTTCTGTTATTCTTTGTTTACTTGGGCAACACACAGCTGCTTTGAAAATAAATACAAATGTGGGAAGGTTTACTATTTGATTTTTTTTTTCCCCCCTAAATTCATTGTAAAAATAAGTAAGCAAAAAATCCCAAAGGGAAGTAAAACTGCTAAAAATGCACTCTTCTCAGTGGACTCTGAGCTAGATTAACCAATAAACTAGGTCATTTCCCATTGTTCGCTATGTACTCTGCCGGGCATAGCACTCTGGGCAGCTTCAAGGAGGCAGTGGTTTAGTTCCGCTGTTGATGGCACAGCGCTGCCACCACCCCTGAAGGCTAGCATGAAATTGGACTTCCAGAACAAAGCTTATGAGTAGTTTTGGTGACCCATAGCCTTCTCTGGTCCCATACATAAGGGATTCAGTCTCTAGACTTTTGTGAGCTTTGGTTTGATGCCTGTTGGTCTGGATTCAATGGCAGGCTTCAGCTCTGTGAGTTATGGCAGGTGGAAGATACCAGAAATATGTGGTATGCAATATGATGTAAAAGTGTGGTTCCACTTTTCATTCCTTGTGATATCCTCCATTTTCAATCAGAACAACCTTCCAAAGAGCCAAACCCCTGTAAGGATGAGAAGAAACAGCTTTACACCGCTGGCCAGTGCGGACACAATAAAGCGCCCAAGAAATTACAGTGTTGGGAGCAAGCCTCTCAATCTGCTGGGGTCTTTCCTATTTCCGGAAGCTCAAGATGGGGCAGATCAGCCACAGCTGCAAGTCAGTGTCTGTGTGGTAACTTGCCTATGCTCTCTCTTCCCACGGCTGCTTCCCACTAACCCTGAACATCACCCACAGTTACCAGTGGTCCTGTTTGAAATACAAGCAGATCCCCCGCCCTGCCCCCTTACTGCCTTGTACACCATCACTGTTCCCACTGGAAAAGCATTCCAGATTACAGGCTCCAGTAGACTAGAATGGTGGTGCCAGAGGCTTAAGAGATCAGGCTCCATGCAGGTGAGTTTCCCTCAGGATAATAAGAGTTTCCTGGTAGGCTGGTTAATGCTAACTGCTGTACTGCTTTCTAGCAAGGGCTTGGTTGGAAAGAGTTATAGACATCCTGCTTGTCCAAATTCCATAAAATCAATGCAGCCGAGAGTTCCTCTAGCCCTAGCGCAACTGGTTAGGAAAACTTTATGTTCCTAATTTTGTTGGTGCCCCTTGTTCTGATGTCAGTTGGTGCCCAGATCCTGATGTCAGTAGCCTGTTGAACAAAATTAATTGGGGCTCCTGGTGTTCAGGTTAATATTAAAAATTAAAGCTGCTTTGTTTTTGACACTTGATGTTTCTTTTGGCTTGAACGCTCATAGGTTCTCGTCAGTTTTGTGTGTGAAGACCCACTTGCTTATATGAAATTGTTTCTTTTTGCTAAATTAGAAGCCTTTCTGTGCCTGGTTTCTCCTCTCAGCCACTTTTGTCAAGGGATTTGCTGAGGAGCCCATCAGTTCTAGCAGAGCAAGCTGCTGACTGTTGGCTCTGTTTCCCAGAGTTAACAGAGACGCTGCTTCTTTCGCCTGCTGACTATTGCAAAGGAGAGACCACAGACAGAGCTGGCTGTACATTGCTTTCTGTCACACGAGACAGACAGGAGGCATGTGAGGGACTTAGAGGTGGTCTGACTGGGTTACTCGTGCATTTTGTTCCTCTCTTTAGAGACAGCTGTCATTATTAAAGCAATTCTTTCCACTGCTCAGAGTCTGAAATCGGTATGCCCTGGGCTTGATGGAAGCCGTTGTACCAAGACAGGAAACTTCATTTTGAACTTTCAGACTGTATTCCTTGTCTGTAGTATCAGGACAACTCAATGCAATGAGATTCTTCCCTTTAGTAGGGTAGCCTGGTATGGTGCTTTTGTAAGGAGTTTTATTTTATTTTTAAATCACAATGGAGAATAATAGTTTTGATCTTGGACATTTTGCAGCTTAATATTTTTCAAGCTATTTAATAAGCCCTGCTTCTCCTGTTCTCATTCTACCTATTAGCAGGTTAAGTGGTCAGACAGTAAAAGAAGGGACCATGCAACAGAGGTGAATTTTGCGGCCATATTCATGTTTGGTGAAGATCAGCCTGAAGCCCAGACATCTTCAAAATTCCAGGGCTTCAGTAGGAGCTCAGTCACAGATAGGGCTTCTAACCTTTGCATTAGGTGTGAATTTGGCCCATAACTGGGCCACAGGTGGAGAGGAACCTAACCTTGGAAAGTCCTGAATGTTCTTAATTTGTAGTAGCTCTCAGGAGGTCATTAACCCAACCTATAATCAGGGCTATATTTTTGTACACAACCTGCTAGGAAGCTAGCCCCAGAGTTTAGCCTCTATTTAAACAAAAAAATTCACAAAACTTAATGTTAGTACATTGGAGGGGGTTAACAAATATTTTTTTTTCCATTTAAAAGTTTCTGTTTATTCACGAGCATTCGCTAGGCCTATTTTTCAACCCAAGAACTGCAAAAAGAGGTTGGTAAGGCCAGTAAGTGCAGCTTGCGGGAGACGGAGTGGAAGTCTGTGTGTTAGCTGTATGTGCATGCTCAGCATTTACACCTTCAACTTCTTAAACTTTCAAAAAAAAAAAAAAATCAGGTCCTTTGACAGTTTCTCCAGTTGCACAGCCCCAAAACAGAGATCCCTGGCTCCTAGCAAAACTGCTCACTGTTTGTAATTATAACGTTTGTAACAATAATGCTTTAGCATTTAAAACATTTAAACTTAGGAGCATTTACGAATCATCTCTTCTTGAGTCAGTGCGGACAGCAGTGAAGTGTGCCGTTTTGAAAATTCTCACCTGAATGGAGCCATTTAGGTGAGCGTGCAGCGCAGAAGTTGACCAAGTGACTGAAAGTCACTGATGCCTTAGCATGACATTTCCATGGCTTCTATCAGCTGCTGTTTTGGCACATGTCTGCAGCTATTGCTCCCTAGTGTGAAATCCTTGGAGTTGTTTCACTTCTTTCCTCATTTGCTTCAGTGTTTTTACTATTATTTTTGAGTCGTCATTAAAATGCAGTATGAGCTATCTTGTGCTGTTTCTTTTTCCTTTGCAGCCTCAAGTGGGAAATGCTTGCCTGTGAGTACCACTGAAAACAGCTTGTATGTACTTTCTCTGTTTCGTTCTACTAAGTAGGAATTCTCTTGATTAAAGTTGCATGGAAACCACTTTGGGGGGGGAGGGGTGACAAATTAATGCATGAAGCAGAAGGCAGTCTTTTAGTGTATAGTAGTCCTGTCATTAAGAGGGCCCTTAACGGATGAGGAGTCTTCTATGAGGGCCAAGGCCCGTTGTTGGACTAACGGGTGCATAGCATTTATGTTGGCTGTCTGCAAAAGAGTGCATTTCACCCCAAACTTGCACAGTCCCTGGAACAGGAGGCAAGCATCTGAAGCCTTAAATTCTCTCTTGGAACTAACTCTCAGACTCTCTTAATACTCAAAAACTTCAGTTATACCACAGGATGTTACATTTGTATGTAGCGAACGGGCTGATGGTTGTAAATTGTATTTGATCTTATGCCCAGTCCCTGCTTGGTTCTTCTCTGCCTGTAACAGGGGTATGGTGATATCTGTCACAGGGATTTTGCAAGGATCTTCAATCATAGCCTGTATGGGAGTGCTGCTGTTTACGCTCGGTTACCAATGATTTGAAGAGAATTAACAGACATTAGCACCGTGGATGGAGGTTCTCAGAACCCCTATAGGGAGCATGTTTGGAAAGCGATTTTGTGAATGAAATTTGCTGTGTTAGTGGCAAGTGTCGTCATGACTCCTCACTGTCACGTCCCTTTGGAGGAGTATTTAAATGGGGGTGAAGAGTATGGGACTGTACCTCTTTCTCACACCCTATAGAGAGAACATTTAATTCTGTTACCCCCTTCTCTCCAGGGAGCCAGCAAGCATCACCTGTGAGACCTTGGTTTCTATGTCGGCCTCCGAGTGAGGCGCTCAAATGAGAGGCCTTTGGTGTCCTGTACAGAAAGGCCAGGAAATTACTCTTGCTTCGCAATGCGCCTGCGTTGCTCTCAAGCGACCCTGCTGGCCTCGAGGCCTGTTCCTGCTCTGATGCCTGGGGCAATGGCTGTTGCAAAAGTTAACGTAGCCCCTCGCTAGATGCGCCACGTTTCAACTTGCACAGTGCGTCAGCGTTGAAGCTCTTGTCTTGTCAAAGTGTGATATTGCAACTTTAGGTACTTTACTTGTGGGACTGACTATACTGCACCGAATTTCATTATACTGAGTTATGGCTCTTAGCAGATATGTAACTGATGTATGGTTCCTGCAACATACTTGCTTCCTCGTCTGTGCATTGATGTACTTGCTCCACATGCATTGGTGATAATGTATCTAGGACACCATAGACAGCTTTTTACCAGTCTTTGAAACCTTTTTGTCCTGGAAGGCTTTGTGCTTTTTATCTGCTCTGCTGTAAATGTTAGTCTTGGGGTGCGAGTGGAAAGGTGTCCTGTGCCCATCCAGCTGTTGCGGAACGAAGTCTCCCTCCATTCAGGAGCGGCTGACTCTATGTCTGGAAAGCACTTCTGACGTGCAACACTGTGTTGACTGCTGCCCTAAAGGGATGGTGTTGCCTAAGGGTATATTTTGAGATGAAACAAACCATTCATCTGCAAAGGGCACAGGTATTAGAGGAAGGCCTTCAGACTGTTCTCTGTATGGGCTGCCAGAGACGAATCCTGAACTGAGTTCTTGCTAGCAAAACGTTAAGCTCTGCTCCCATGCTTTTCTCTGACTTGCAGCTTTGGGCAAATCGTCCAGCCTTCTGATGCTTTGGTTTCAAATTCAAAGGTAGAATTGCATTTAATGCAAGAAAGTTAAAACAGTAGCTTGTCCAGTTTGGTTCCTGGATATCAAATACATATATTAAGAAAGATTAGGGTTTCATTAGGGAGTTTCCTATTACTTCATTCAGATGCAGGACGCAAAAAACCTGGAGTGCTAGGATGCAGGAATTGCTGCTTTAGGATATGACTTGCATCTTTTTTTTTTTTTTTTTTTTTTTTTTTTTTTTTTTTTTTTTTTTTTTTTTTTTTTTTTTTTTTTTTTTTTTTTTTTTTTTTTTTTTTTTTTTTTTCAAGCAAAGAAGGCTGCAACTTCATATTCAAATGATGGAAGTAAAATTTCTCTCCAGGTAATGTTCCTGCCGGTCTGAGAAACTTTGACTTGAATGTATTTGGCAATTCAGAACTGCAAATTTTGAATTTCATTGCACTGTGTTCTTGAAGTAAAGCTCTTGCAGCATTTTTTCAAATAACTCCGCTGTCTTTTTCTACGTAACTAATATTTGTACACGTTTCTTAAGATAAAGTATGTGATTGTTCCTAAATTCAGGTATTGTTTTGTGTCCTATTCTCTCTAGTTAGTGATAGTATTTTTAATAATGTTACAGAGAAGTTTTAATAAAATAACAGAGCAGTGTGACTGTTCTGCCAAAGCTGCAGTAGCGCACAAAATGTCAAACTTGGATATTGTTCTAGTGTATTTCATACATTAGGATGACTGCTTTGGGTATTGTTCAAAAAGTTGTTGTGCAAAAAATGGCACATTTCTCCTGCATTGCTTACCTCCATAGGTTTCAGAGTCTTTAATGCTGAAGATGAGGGGGGAAAAAGAGGAAGAATGTGAGATGGGGGAGCTTATGTCATTGCTAATGCATAATTGTTCCTGTATGGACTAACATTAATTTAGAGTGAAATCACAGAGAAGTTATCCCCAGGCTGGAAAGCAAAGCCCTATTTACCCCTTCAGTTTTTCCTTTGTACTCTGAACCAATAGGAGCTATATGTTTAGAAGTGAATGTATATGCCAGCTTTGCAAACTTCCTTTTCTAAGACTGTACTCAAGCACTTTTTTTTCCCCCTCTATGTTTAAAAAAAAAATAATAAAAAGTTCCTAGGAGGGTTTGCAGATAAGTAAAGGAAACTTGGTTCAACTTCCTTGATTCTAATACAAACCCCTTCCTTTCTTAGTGATGTATTGCTTGAGAAAATACCATATGAGCAGCTGTTATAGATCAATTCTATATTTGATGGCAATTTCTCTATTTTTTTTTCCTTTAAGTGTCAAGTGAATTGTTGGGAAAGTAGTTTAGTTTTTTAAATTACCACTGGAAAGTATATATGGTCCGAAAATTTCCTGAATATTGGATTTTAAGTCTCGATGCCTTCTGTTAGTTGTCAGCAAATTGGTTTGTGAGTTGTGTTAATTCTTTATTGCAAAACAGTTCTGTAACAAGGTAACTTGCACATATGGTCTCCAAAAATGCTGCAGCAGAGCAGAGCGCGTGCTTAACACTGTGCAGCTCAGATCCCTTTACAATGTTTTCTGTGCTTGGGCTATAAGACATTGAATGAACTACAGCTGATTTAGAAAATCCTGGCTGTCAGATTTTAAATTGTAAGATTGTGCATCTGTAAACATGTAAATCACTTCTGCTGACATGAGTTCATTCTTGACTTTTGTCTGAGCATCGATGAGGCAATGGAAGGAGTTTAATCACAAAATTGAAGTATTTTGTGTGCTTAATACGTAAAATGATTACTGTAATATTTCTTAAGTATGTCCTAGAAGTGTATTTTCCTCTGGAGAAGATAAATAAAACTGAGTAACCTTGAGTAACAACTCTGCTTCATTATTGCCTGCCTTTCTATGAGATACTCCAATAAACCTTCTTATACTTGGTGTCAGGTATAAGACTGTAGTAAAACCCTACCATTATGAGTTTTACAAGAGGTTAAAGAACAATGCAAGATGTGAAGCAGTTTGGACTTCTAGTCTGGAAGCGTGAAGTTCAAGTCCATCTCCTAGGCAAAACTGCTGAGCTGAAATAACACCTTGTTGTTCTCCTGCCTCATCCTGGAAAGAAACAGTGTGTAAAAACCTTAAAGGGTGACAGAGGTGAGGGGGATGCTCAAAGATACCAGTGTCTGTCAAGAGAGAAAGGAAAAGAAAACTCTATGGGACTGCCTACAAATAAGAATGCAAGATTTCAGCAAGAAATTATTTGTTCAGACAGAAATAAATAAATAATTTCTCAGGTTATCATAGGCAAATTGTTAATATAACAACTATGTAAAGTTGTTTGGGCTCTCCCCTAGCTGACTGCTAGGAAGTAACTATTTTTCTGTCTGTCTTTAGCTGGTACTAAGCTGAGCTGTGCTGTCAGTGTGGATTTCAGTGGTTTATCATTTCTTGATTTTTTTTTTTTACCTTGTTATAATCTGTACAATTTATTTTTATTTGTAGAGGATGGCTGGTTTAATGATGTAGAGGTTTCTGGTTTCATCTTGAACATGGCTGAGATTTCCACAGATATCCTCATGGGCAAAAAAATCTCCTCCAGGGACTTGCGTGCCTTGTGACTACTGGAACCAGCACGTTGCCTGGAGCTGCCGTCCCCAGACCTCTGGACGCACAGTGAGCCGTTTGGCACTTTGGCCAGTAATGTTATTTGAAATATATTTTAAAGCTTATCTGTAATTCCTTTTTTCCCTCCCTCTTTCTTTTTGAACGCTGAAATGTTTATCAATGGAGTTGAAGAAAATTTATTATGAAGATTTTTCAAGTTGCTTTTAACGTGTGTGTGCGCATGTGTGTTGGGCAGCGGGCCAGCGCATGGTCTGATGTAGACCTACGCTTTCTCAAGAAAGCGTGCACTGCTTGGTCCTGCAGACTTGTTCTGGAGTTTTAAAATAATTTCTGATGCCTCTCTTCCTGCTTAGTTGGAAGAAGTATTTGCAGTTTGTTAGTTCAAAATGGTCAGATTCATTCTTGCTGAAGTAGCTTCTGTTTGGAAGATTCGTGCTCACCGTGCATAATATCCAAGTTTTTATTTAATTTTTACTGTCTTTCAAGTTCAAGCACAGTTACTCAGTGTTATTTAACCATTGAAAGAGCTTCAGATATCATTTGACTTTGCTTTGATGACTTTTGATTTGAATACCCAGATCTGAACATGTTCTTATATTGGAGAAGGGTTTTTGAATCTAGCATAACAAAAGGCACTTGTAAGATCAGGTAATCTTGTGAAACTTATCACACTGAGGAGCAAAAGGGAATAAAAGTGTATGTTATCCTATATGTATAGCTTAGTTACCAGTGCAGTTCAAATCTTGCTTTAGCTTTGCACCCTATTTTAAGCTTCATCCTATCACTCATTTTCCTACGTTTTGCGGAAGCTTTTCTATCTCTTACAACAGAAACTCGCCTCATTTCATTCCTTACTGTGTCATATGAGTTCCTAGATTGTCCATTTACTGTCCTATTCTACCTACCTTAGCCAAAACTTCTCAAAATTAAGTGTGGATGTATGTGCCTGCGTGCTCTTTCGTGAGTAACTGCATCCATAGGGCTTGACCTGGGTTGCAGACAAAAGTCAAGTAGCACTCATTATGAAAAGTGTTTTCTATTTCTCAAGTTTTCTTTTGTTTCAGAAGGTATTGAGGAATGTGGTACATGAATGAGTTGAGAGAGAAAATATCTTTTACAATGGGGATCTCAATTTCTTTACTCTTACAATGAACCAATATGCTGGAAAATCAGAATATAATTTTCTGTTCAGTGTCTAGGAATAGCAGGGCCATGCATTTAGGATTTGTAAGAAGCACATGCTTTTTATGGCACTTCTTAATGTTCCAGGTTTTACGCCCACAACACTTTTTTCTTTTTTTTAACTTGGATACAAATAAACTGTGAAAGTTAGTGATTTAAATGCTATCTTTAATACAATTTAAGCTGTTCTAGTATCTAGCACGTAGACAGCGAAACTCATTGCAGCAAAGCTAGTGTAATGGCTGTTACTTAAATGCTCCATATGAATGGCATAAATAACACCTCAACTTTTATGGCTTTCTCTCATGCATCTTGACTTGTGTTTAGGTAAACTTCGTTTTGTCTCACTCCTACTATTCTCCTTGTAATAAATGCAAAATTGTCACACTTGGAATCCTAACATTAAGTGAAGAAATGAGTGTTTAGGTACCTAAATGGGAAGCTGGTTTTTGTTAGCTGTTATACCTGTTGTTTCCAGTGACTTCAACAGAAGCCCCAGAATTTCTGGGATCAAAATTGTTGTCTTAAATGTGTAAATAAGTGTTGGCCATATCTAAAGTAGGTATGCATACTTGAAAAATGTAGACCAGGAAGTTTAAATAAAGGAGAGCCCTTTTTTTGCCTTTACCGCCAAGGAGCTCAGCAGCCTGGAAGCCTGAGGTTTACCGTGGAATTTTGAGAGCTCAAATCCAGCCCTTTTAATCACTCCCAATGTTTTAACTCAGTAACGCTGTGGCAAGAGAGGGCCACAGCAATGGCCCAGTCACTAATCTCAACATCCTAGGATCTATGAGGAACTTAAATGGTATGTTGACCTTAGGCAATTACTCTGTAGAGGGATGAAATTCGCAATGGGTGAGAAAGTTTGTTTTGTATTAGTTTTGTTCTGCAGGATCTTCCCACTGAAGTGAAGGTTTGTTGCAATAGGAAAATCTATTCTTTGTTTTTAAATTTTATAATGCTTAGAAATAAGTAAGGAAAGAGGGAAACAGAAAATATTGAGAAGGAAGAGATTTATAGTCTATTGCATAGTAATAGTCACTTTCCAGAGTAAACCTCTAAATGCATGAACTTGTACCTGAACAGACTGGCTGCTTCTAGCAATAAATCCTTCCGCTATACAGGAAAGATGAATAGAAACGTACTGTAAGATGTGTACGAGCAATATGCTGTGATAACTTTACACAATGCTAAGAAGTTAATTATATGTGTCATTGAGTAGTTAATGGTTGTAACAAAACAAATATATATTTTTACATGCCATTTCATGAAATGAATGTTGCTGCTAATATGTTGGCAGTCTTAACTCTTTAATCGTTGCTAAAAATCCATTCTGCAATAGGAATTTTGGATCACTAGCTTTGGGTCCTGTATTCTTATCCAGTAGCTACTTGTTTTGGCAGTAGCCTTATCGATAGTAGTCTCCTGGGTTGTGGGACAGAGCCTGTCAGCTGTATCGACAGAAGTCGGAATACATGCCTCTGTGCTTTAGTTAAAGCCTGAATACAGTTCTGTTCTCCTTTATTTTAACTTTCAAAAGCTGTAAATGTGTGTCTGTCAAGTAGAGTACTGACAAATTTGTGGTGATCATATACTCGTCATGGTGATGCAGGTGAATAATAAATACGCCTGACATTACAGCTCGCAAGTTCTCCAGAGTCATTGATGGTTGGGACTGAGCAATGCCAGAGCGTGCACAGATCTCCCCAGCCTGAAACCAGCTAGCAAGTGTTTTGTGCCAGGTATTTCCTTGAAATCACCTGACTTTCATGGCATTATTCATGGAAATACTTCAGAATAAATAAAGATTGCACAATTTACCTGAATTTAAAGATTAGAAAAGAGGCTTGTGCTTTCAGTTACACCAGAGTTGTCTTCCTTTGCTAAGCAGATACAGGTTGTGTTCAAAACACTCTAGTAGTTTATGAAGTATTGTATTTAGCTGTGTGATAAGTGGACCTGTCTACTTTGTTGGCACCAAGAGGAGGTTTCCCCTGACTTGCCTCCATCCTTTTTTAGTGTCGGATGTGGCAGTGCATGCTGTCACATTGAATAAATTCTGCCTGTCTGGCAGGACCATCCATTAAGATGTGCACTGCTAACTCTGCGATCATAGAGTTGCAGTTCAGGGGGCTTGTTGGCATGTCCTCTTTAGAACTTATTTTAACACAAAAGTTTATGATCACTCCAGTGAAATCCTTTCCATCTTTGCTGTCAAGGATGGGGAGAATTGAAATGTGAGGAAAAAGGCTTAAAGTAAAACCAGTCTGAGTAGCTTGAGGCTGAGTATTCTTGCTGTGACATTACAACTGCTATTTCTCTGTAACTCTTCCCCTTCCAGTCATCCCTGGCAGTTCTGTTTGTCCTCACATCCTTCTCTCTTCTGTGTTGTGACGGTTAATTAAGAGCTCAACACAGCCGTTCCCAGGCCACAGGGCTGAACACTGTAGGAACAACCTTGAGAGAGAGGTGTTGCCTTCAGTACTTCCGGCACATGCCTGGATGTGAAGGGGGCTGAGAGGTTCCTGTCCCAAGAAGAGTGCTACAGATGCCACCTCTGCTGTTTCTGTCCGGCTATTCTTTTGTCTCTGTCAGGTAGTGAACGCTGTAAACTGCATCTCTGTATTTAGTGAGATGGATGTTCCGTGTCTGCTTGGAATTTTGCTACCTTATGGCCTACTACTGATGTTTTGTTTGTTTTAGGTTAAATAATACAGTATATGCAGACTTATCTTGCTGTATGTTGTGTACTTATGCACAAATATCACATGCGCTTTTATTTGCAATAAAGAAGTTTAAAAAAAATCTTGTTTCTCATGTTATTTTCCATCAGCCTTTGCTATAACTGTCTGTATTGTCTGCTGCCTTTGCAAGGTAATTGTTTTTGAATCTATGGAGTCTATGGAAAGTATTTGGAGGAAGAGGGTCGTAGCGGAGAACAGACTTGTCTGGCTTTTAGGAGTTACAGAGATGGTTTGGAAAAGACTGGTGCTATACCCCTGAGCTACTGCTGCTGTTCCCCTTCCCTAAATAATCAATTTTAAGGGTGTTATAAGTGGAGCTATTGGAAATCAAATTTGAGTTTCCTTTGGAGCTGTTAAGGTAGGAACACCCTTTTCCCCGGAAAAAACAAACAAACAAACAAACAAAAAACCCTCTTCTTCTCAAATACATTTCAAGAAAAGCAACCAGTCTTATGAATCTCTAGCTATGATTTCCAGCATATGCAGCTGGAAACCAGCTTTTACAGTTGTCTCTGAACTACATTGTTCCGAGCAGATTAGGGTAGGAAGATCTGTGTGCACCCATGTGTTTGACTGGAAGGAGCTGTGAAAACTCAAGGAGATTGGTGACGGAACTAACTGTGAGAAAGTGGTAATTTTGCAGACCTTATGAATACTTCACTGCTTTCCTTTGCTAGACAAGCAAGGGACTCACCAGCCACAGCCTGAAGAGAAGCTGGAGAAACCTTGTGGATGTGGTCAATGAAAACCCCTTCTATCTTGTTTACCCAATTGCAAGCTATGGGTTGAGGAAGTCTTATGGGTGTTTTGTAGCTGTCAAAGCGGGAGATGGCTTTTGTATAGCTGTTTCCCAAACCTGGTTTGCTCCAGGCTGATACTCACAGCAGTAAGTACAGCAACTAGACAGTTACTAACTAATCTCCTGGGAGGCAAGATGCCCATAAGGAAGTTACTTTTAATTTTTTTTCAGCCCCCCCCTCCCCCCCCCAAATCAGACAGATTGTTCTGAGTCATCTGGGAAAAATAAATCAAGAAGAAGACTTGTGTTTGAGAGTAACTGGATTCTTGTAAATATTTGATGGAGGTCACTGCCTCCTCTGAAGTAACCAGGGGCCTGTTGTGAGCAAGCCCAAACTTGCGGCGTGAAATAAAGCAGCATGTTAGATGGTGTTTTGCAAAGCGAGAACCAAATCTCTCTCACTACTTTTTGGCTTGGGCTCAGCTGAACTTTAGAAAGATAATATATCCCCCCCCAAACACAGGGATGCAGTAAATTTTTTTTTTTGGCAAGAACCCCTCAGATTTGGCAGAACAAAGCAATATCTATGAAAAATAAGATCTAGGGGGTAAAAAGGCCATTGTCAAATTTTTGATGATAATTCAAGCCTGCTCTAAATGAAACCATGCAGCCAAAGTACATAAGGACAAATGGTTATGACCTCTGCCAAAACTCTCATCACTGGAAAATTTAACAGAGACAACTAGATTTAGGTACAGCTTTCAGGTACAGCTCAATAGGGAGAAAGCGTGGCTGGGTGTGCCTTCAAGGACGTGGGCGTTCAGTTGTCGGTGATATTTCCCAAGACCTCATGCTCTTCTGAGCTCTCCTCTGACTCTTCCAGCTGGTGTTATTTTAATGAGATTAGAGAGAGTTGGTTGAAGAAACCGTATTTCGAACACTCATCATAAGGCTTTCAAAGTCAGAAGACATGTGCTCGTGACAGATCTGCTCCAGGGTGAAACAATCATCTCAAGGTCCAAGTAGCAGGTCCAAGTAGCGCGCTCCAGTACGGTGTATATCTTATGTCAGAACGACACTGGCCGCCTTACCGTTGCTTGGTATTGGAACAGGCAGCAACCCATTCAGCTAAGCTCTGGATAACTTTACATGCATATCATTTCAGGAAAGAACTGGCAGCTCAGAACAGAAAATAAACAATTTCAACATCTGCGTGGGTTGAATTCAGCTCTCTAATGTTTCATTTTGTAGGTTGAGTAAACTACTTCCTTGTTCAGAGGAGGAGTTAATAATTTATAGGTATACTGGCACAACTCTGGTCTCTGCAGAACTCAAACTTGTCTGTTTTTAGCCTTCTCTGAGCATTTCTGAGGGTGTGGGCATATCGTAACTCCTTCTTTAGCACTGTTGTGCCAGGTTTCAGGGGTATTTAGACTAAGAAAGTCATCGCTTTGTCTTGCAGGAACCAAACGTACATGACCTCTGTCTATCTCCTGCTGAGAGACCTTCAGGTAAGATAACTAGAGCTGTACAGCTTCAGGCAACATTGTTCTTGGGAACTGGTTTGGAGCATTCTTGCAACGCTAGTAGGCTTGCATATTAGTAAAGCTAAATCAAGTTAAACCAAGAGCTGTAACAAGAACTGAGGGAAAGCCAGAAAAAAATGAAATAGCAGCAAGAAGTGCTAGGTTTAGGGCAGATGGGAAAAAAAGAGAGGAATAACTTTAGTAGGAAGACATGCTTAACTTTTCTTTCTTTCTTCTTTTAGTTACTAATTTCTCATTAAAGTCACCTTTGGGCAAAGTCTGTACAATGTAGAAAGCTTCTACGGACTGTCTCATTTCCAGAAGCGAGGTAGGTACATAACATTGAAAGGGTTTAGGCTCATAAATATTGAACTGAATAACTGAAGGCCAGAGAGGACTTATTTGATGATGTCTGAGAGAACCAGGTTAGTCCAAATTGTACTTATATCACATCCTGAACTGGAATTTAGTCTCCGAAATGACTTATATGCTTTGTAGCTTTACTCCAATTGATATTATTTGCACAAAGCTATTGTGCAGATGTTAAATAGTTGTATCTTTCTAGTGAGGCATTTTTCACACACACAAACACAAACACGTACACCCTCCCCCCCTGCCCAATATATAATACTTTGCTGAGGGATTGTATTGACTCCAGCTGGATTTTGCCTGACTCTGAATTTGCTTCCAAAAAATTTATTACTAAAACAAAATGTTTTATCCATGAGTAAATTTCAGACTGGACTTTTTTCCAGAAGGCATAGAGAAATTTATGACCCTGTAGGGGTCATAAATACCCCTGTAGGTATTCATTTGACTGGTCAGCTGGAAAGAACTATATATGGGCATGAACAAAAAAGTATACAATGGTTTGAAGTAGAACCTGGCGAACTGCAAAGTAATTATCTTATGGTTTGAGTGGAACTTTTATTCTTTATTCTTTTTTGTATCTTAGTTTTACATTTTAATTAAAAGCTGCATTCTCAAAAATGCAAAGAAATGAGACTAGTTGAGTAAAGCTCATGGAAGTTACTTAAAATGTGCAGTCCTATTTATGTTATATTTTCATTTCTTTTTGTGTGAGGTGTTTGAGCCAACCTTGCTTACCCAAATTCAGTCCTACCTCGGCAGATCAGAGCCTCTGTGGTGTATATTGCTGCCATCTGCCCCAGTGGAGGGGCTCTGCTCTATTACAATTTGTGCTGCAATAGCATCTACAATGTCTACCCAAACCGTAACTAGAGGAAAGAGACAGAGAAATGAGACCTGTTTGTATGAGCTATGTTTATCCTCAGTAAAAATTCAGTGCTCTGTCCTCTGCTATTTTTACAGATATTTTGCTTAGAAAAAAAACTGTGATAACTTCTGTGAGATCTTCAGGCAGGGAAGCTGGACTAAAGATGTCATCTTTGCAGACTGGGAAGCAGAAGTATCATGCCACCATCCTTAGACTGTTACTTGCTGCTGGTCTTGTTGTAGCTGTCCGGAGTAAGTGAACATAAAAATGGAGCAATCCACCAGGATGAACTATCAGTCTTTGAAGGGAGACTTTCTCCTGAGGTTCATATAACTGTGGTCATTCTCTTTTTCTCGTTGCGTTTGCATTTTTAGAACACTGTAAATCTCTGTGATGAGAATCACTCTTCCTTTGGCTTTTTTTCCCTTGGTCTGCAGCCTTTATAGTGTTGATTCCAGATGAAAAAGGCGATAAAGGATGATAAATCATTGCAATTTATACTTAATGGGGTTAGAAAAAAGTTAATCTGGGCTTTGTCACTAACAGTTGGATGAAAGAGCAAACAGAAAAGCACATGGTGATGTTTCTCCTCTGTGCTCCTGCACCCTCTCCTGTGGCTTAGAGATGCCCTGAGGCACCGACCAGCCTTCTCTTCCTTGCGTTCAGCAGCTCAGGAATTATGACTGCTGAAGTGTCCTCTCCTGAACCTTAACAGTAAACCAGGCCTAAACTCTAAGTGCTTTTCCTCAGAATGTATTTCTGATAGATCTTTTCTGCTGCTAGGTGCCTGTGAGCTTCCGCCACGTTTCTCATCTGCAGAACTGAAAGATGCTTATCGCGGCATTAGCCAATTTCCTGCTCATTCAAAGGTGGAATACGTCTGTCGTCCAGGCTACAAGAGAAATCTCAGTGTCAAAAGCACTTTGGTTTGTGAAATGAATGATGAGTGGAAAGGATCAGACAAAATTTGTATACGTGAGTATGTTTTGGGTTTACTTTTGATCTTATTTTTTATTCACTAGTCCTGTCAGCTCATTTTGTTTAAGCAGTATAAAAGTGATTGTATGGGATGGTGACAGATCAGTGATGTGACATGAAACACCAGTTACACTCCACTAAGTGCCTGAAATGATGGCAACAGCTGAAATCTGCTTTGATGCTGGTTGCCTTTAATTGTTGACTCTGACTATATTGAAAAGTGTTTTCTTTTACTCTGACACTTTGTAACTCTTGGTTCACAAAATGCATTTTGAACTGTCAATAACAGAATCCTCTAGTTGTGAAGAAACACTGTTGGACTTGGCAGGTTTACTGCAAAACTGCTGTTAGACTGGCACATACAAAAATGCCAATCAGAGGCTGACTCTGCATCATGACCTGGCAGATTTCTGATACCTGTATTCTTAACAGAATCTTTGAATCATGGAATAATTTAGGATTGCAAGGGAAATCTGGAGGTTTATGGTCCACCCCCTTGCTCAACAGAGGAGGAATACTCTGTTTTCCTTCTGCGTTTTATTTTACTTGTTCTTCAGGAAAATAAACTAAGAACTGATTCCGGTCCTGTTGTCCTCCAGCAAGGTCATGCAGCTATCCTGGAGAGCCAGTCAATGGCAGACTTCTAGGAGAACAATTCAGTTTTGGTTCAACAGCAAACTTCACCTGTGAAGCTGGGTAAGCACTGAGCACTCAGAGGCACAGATCTTTAGGACCTTAAGAAACTTTCTAGTTTAATTTTCTGTAAAACAGAGGCTAACGCACTGCCTCTGGCTCAAGCCCGTATGTCATGATTGACTCAAAGCATGTGGTCTAGGAACTCTTCCAATTTGCATTCAAAGACTTAAAAGGACAGAGAGTACACTGCACTGCATAGGCCCGTTATGGATCTTTGTGCTCACTAGTAATTGCAAGCCAGAAACAAGGTAAAACGTATCTATCTTCCCTGGTGGATTTTCTAAGCTCTCTCCCTCTACCTTAAAGAGCCTTTACTTTGCAAACCATGATCAAAATATCTTTTAGCTTTTCCTTTTAAAGCTTGAAGACTGTTTTCTTAAACTTGTACTTAGAGGCAGTTCTTCTGGAACTCAGCTTGCTCCCATAGCCCGTTCTAGACCTTTTCCAATGTTTCTGTATCTTTTGAAGGAGGGCTGTACTCAGAGCTTTAGTGATAGTCTTGGTATGATGTCCAGTGAGACAGGGAAACTGGTAATCCTACCTCTTTTTACAAGAAGTATGTGAGATAAAGGCATGAGACATCCCAAGCATAGATGTTATGTGTCACTGTAGCTATATTTCAGAATCAAAATATGGCATTTCTCACAGATCAAAATTTTAGATAAAATAGACATTTTTCCTTAGAAACCAAATGCTTATTCATTAAAAAATAAAGTTTTCTCAAAAATGCAATGTATTGTTGAAAAAAATGCCATTAAGTAAAGCTCTAATTATGCTAATGTAAGGAAGCTAAAGGCATACTGATGGCAGTGATACAGATAACATGTCAAAACCGAGTTTGACACACAATTTTTTTCCTCTTATTTCACGTAGGCACAGACTGATTGGAAATTCCCAAATTCAGTGTGTAATTAGAAATGGGGTTGTTACGTGGGACGGAGACGTTCCAGTCTGTGAACGTAAGTAGAGTTCCTTAACTGAATTATTGTGCAAATATTACTGAGACTGGATAAAAATTAGCCATGTTATCCTATTGACAATTTCAGTAGTTCGTTGCATGTTCATTTGCATAGTCTGTTTTTTTTCCTGCATCATCCTGTAGAAAAGTTTGCTCTCTAGGAGGAGGATAGCTGCACGTAACATGGACGTATCCCTAAACTGCACCACTGCAGGGTCAGATCTCTGCTGTGTATGACCAGTGGTGTGTGACTCTCCTGAGCTCCACAGGAACTACCTTTAATTTCACATGGCCAACGTTTCTGGCACCTTATGTTTCAACTTCTTTCTCTTATCAGATCTTTGATTCAAAATGATTTAATTCCTTCTCTCTTTCTCTCTTGTTCTTCCCGTCCCTCAACCATTCCGCTTTTCTTTAGCAATACCATGCTCACCCCCTCCGGATATAGCGAATGGAGTGTATAGTGGAACTGCTGGAGATGATTTCAGTTACGGAGCTTCTGTCACTTATCAGTGTAACCCTGTCAAAAGAGGAGAGACACCTTTCTCACTGATCGGAGATGCCTCTATTCACTGTACAACCACAGACAACCTAAACGGTGTCTGGAGCAAGCCTGCCCCTGAGTGCAAAGGTAATCTGTTCCTGTGCTTGGGATGTCCGTGCACACTTGTAAACTCGTTGGCAAATGGTAGCGACGCAAGCCATAGCAGCTTAACTGTGATTGTCTAGTGACCAGTCTCTTAAAGCTGCATTCTTCTTTGGAGCTATATCCCTCCATTAGGGTACTGGAATCACCTCTTAGAGAAGAGGTCCTCTGAGTTTGGTAGCGGTGATAAGATTTACGGCCTCTCGTGGGGGAGCTCCCATCGCTGAGGCAGTGAATCGCTCATGGTCACTAAGTTAGCAAGGGAAATTTGAGTGCTACTTCATTCAGGTTCACAGAAGAGCAGGCAATGAATCTGGCCTGCCAGCCTGTGTAAAATATAATGCCTGCAAAGAATTCAGAAAACGAGTGTAGTACCTGCTGCCTTTGCTTTACTCTTTTTATGCTTTGCCATAATAAAATATAAAATAAATAAAATAAAAAATGCTGCGATATAGAGTAAGGAGCAGTTCAAAAATATCACGTCAGTTTGGTACCTTGTGCTGTACATTTTCAACCTTTTTGGTGAACATATGCTACAGGAATTTCTTTAATATTTTAATCTCCTCTCTCCTAACTATAACTATTATTTCCTAAGTGATGGTGTTTCCTTGATACAGTGGTTCGCTGTAAACATCCAAATATTGACAATGGAAAACTGTTGAGCAGATATAGAGCTGAGTACACCTACAGAGACACCGTGATGTTTGACTGTGACTTCCGCTATGCCATGAATGGCAGTGATATATCTACATGCACAGAAAATAGCATTTGGGACCCTCCAGTGCCAGTTTGTCAACGAAGTAAGTGCGTGGAATGAGCTCTACTCTAACTTCTCCCAGAAACTGCTTCAGCGAAATTCCCACTGATTTAAGAAAGTGTTAGTTTATGAAAGTAACAGCTCCAAAATTTAACTTATTGGAATTTTTGAGCGATCTGTCTGTTGACCAAAAGTGACTTCCCATTTCATGTTTTCTGGCAGCACTCTGGAAGAAAAATAATTTTAAGAATTTATAACTTCAGGCCGTATAGACTAAAGCCTTGTCACAATCAAGCTGGTAAGGGTTTCTCAGTAGAATTCAAAGAGACCAAATTAAACTTTCTATATTTAATATTTTTAAAGTTCAGTGACCCATGAGGGCAGAGCCTCGAATAGTATATATTATAAATTATATCTCATTACAACATAGTAGGGTAAATTACCTACAATCTGAAATTATTTATACGTTTTCATTTGTTTGCATTGAATTAATTCCTCAGTATTACCGAATTCAGGTAATTTCCTTGTGTGGATCTCAAAGAAAGAACAATGTGAGCTCGTGAATATTTTAAAGTTCTCTCCTATGTTACGTTCTATTATGAACCTCACTGAATTATCACTGGAAATGCCCTTAATTTTTTTGTTTTATTCCTAGGTAGCTGTGATGACCCTCCTGATGTGTATAATGCTGTTAAAAAAAACCTTGCTGGCAATTTATTTCCTATTAAGACTCTAGTTACGTATGAGTGTCAGGTGGGCCATGAGTTCAGCCCTGGAGAAACCATGTGGCATATTGAATGTCTGCCGGATTTTACGTGGACTGAAGTTTCATATTCTTGTGAAAGTAAGTTCATAATCCTTTGGCTTAATTATTCTTGTAATTTGGCAAAACTATTGCCAAGAAACTGTACGTAGTCTGCTGTTGTGCATATCACAGAGTTGGGGGAAAGAGGCAAGGATGAATGTGGGGAATACTGTGATTACCCAGTTAAGTGTGTGATTAATCTGTTTAACTTGTCCCTTTAACTAAGGGACTTCAGCACTGTAGTTACAGGCTAAATAGCCTGGCAGGCATTGCAGACCGTGTTTAAGTCTGAGCAGTTGCACCTGGGCTGCTCCGAGTACCCAAGTTAACATGTTTCTAGTCATGGCTGTGACTCTTGAATGCCACTTCAGTTTATTCCCTGGCCTCAGTATTTTCTCTGCTTTACTTATTCGCTATGTTTTCTAGTCCCTTTAATCTGTGGAAAAATAGTCATTGCCATGTCAAGGACCCCTTGCTCCATCTGAGGAAAGATTGCAATTGCAGAGGTGCTTGCAAACACTCCAACACGCAGGAGTGTGTCAGGAACAGTGTTGGGGTGGATTTTGTCTGCTGTGGCAGGTTTCAGCATACGGCTCTGCAGAGTTTCTGAGCAATCCTGCTGCCAGGGGAAAGATGGGCGCAGCGCTTCTTGCTGATGTCAGCAATGACAAGGCAGCTTAGATTTAAAAGGACAGAAAATGACTTATGGTTTCCCTGGATCTCCATCTGCACACTGGTAAATTCTGGAATGTCCAGAAATGGCCTCTGTCTTACAAAGCATTCATTCTTTCATGTCAAATGAATCTGCTGTCATCCAGATGTCTTTGCCATGATTTCAGACTGTTGCTAATGTTTGGTATTTCTCAGGAGTTCGTTGTCCAAATCCAGATGTCAGAAATGGAAAGCACATACATGCATGGAGTTATAAAGAGGACAATTATGAGTATGGAGACAGAGTTCAAATTACGTGTAATCATGGCTATACTTTCAAAGATCATGACAATGAAGTTGTGCTTCAGTGTACAGTGAATGGTACATGGGATCGTGAAATACCGGAGTGCATTCTAGGTGGGTATGGTTTGTGAAGCATATTGACTTGATGACTGCTTATTTTTGACTGCAAAGGTTTGGGTCACTGTACAGTGTAGTTGCCTGCTCCTGTTAGCAAAAAAATGCATGCAAAAATATACATATGACCTTAGAGGATGATAGTGGTAGCCAAGCAGTGTTTTGTTCCACTTCCATGTATCCCCAAACCAAGTTGTCTTCGTGTGTTAGCTGGGAAGTAGTAAGCAGCAAAAGCTACAGACGGATCATTATATTGCTTGAGGATTACTGTGGAAAAAGTGAGAGGTTTTGACAGTGGGCTGATTCAGTGTTTGGGAAGTGAAGAAGAGTTTTGGTAGCTTGCAGGGGCTTAGAAGAAGGCTCAGAGAAGTTTACCTAGCTGGAAGTTGATCTGATTTGTACTTTGAACAATAACTGGGCTGGTTTGCTGACTTGGGGCTTGAGAGCAGCAGATGTTCTCAACGTTTTTCCTCAAGTGAGCAAGGGAAGAACTAGGAGCCACAGCACCCTATGAAATAGGTTATGGTGTCTTATTTCTAGGTGGACGATTAGTTTCAGCAATTTCAGTTATTTATGCTACTTCTGCTTCCTCTAAGACGCTTTGCTCACTAGATAATACTGTATTTTTTCTCGGTAGCATGTGACCCAGACCAGCTGGTGTTAGGGAGAGGGCAAAAAGGGCTTTAGGATGACAGGATGCACAGAAAATATTTCATCTCTCTGCCTTTTGCTGTTCTCCTGACCACCTTTCTAGCCTGTGAGCCTCTCTCTGATGCTTGATCCTTAGTGTACACACTGCCTGTTTTCTGAGCCCCAGTGTCCCTAGGCATCACCACAGCTGGCTTGTCATCTTTTCCTACTCATCTAATTCTCACTGTGAGCAATGCCAGTCAATTGCTGCAAACAGTCTGAACGCAAAAGCTTGGGGAAACCTTACCAGGAGGAAACAGCCTACTCCATCTCACAGAACAGACAGCGTTAGACCTTGGATACTTCCTTGCCCTGGCCCTAATGTTGCCTGTCAGGTTCTCAGTAATCTCATGAATCCAGTTCAGTGAGAAACCGTTGGCTGCTATCATCTGGGAAAATAACGGCGAGTGGTGCTGAGTGCCCTAAGGCGGGACGTGCAGCCTGAGTAGGGTGAGATGTGCTGCCCATAAAGAGTGTTCCCTATAGCATGCACCTTCAACAACAGCCTCAGGAAGACTTTACTGTAGGAGCAGAAAGTCCTTTAAAGTTACAAAAGAAATGTTGAGACCTGTCACTTGCATTTAGATGATATTCACCTTTTTTGTCAGGGGGTAGATGTTCTTGATAACCTTGTCTTCTACATGGGAAATAACTGGAATTATTATTTCAAAATACATGAGATCCTTTATCTTCTGGTGTTTGTAGAACCTTTGTGCCCAGAACCAGTCATTGATCATGGAAGAGAGGTTTATAAGAGTAGAAATAACTACGCCCCTGGGACCCAAGTGAGGATAACATGTGATTCTGGCTATGTCCTCAGAGGCCAGGCATTGGTTGAATGTCAGGCTGACAAGAGCTGGGCCCCTCAACTACCATTTTGCGATGAAGGTATGTGTACTGCAACATCATTGCTAAGAAGATGTATGGTACATCACTATTTAGAAACAGTGGTGAGTAGGCAACCTACCTTCAGCATCTACTTCTGGGAAGGGGGAAGATCATCACTGGCTTATGGGCTTAAACCTTTATTTATGTATCTTTTCCTGGAGTTGTAATCCAGGTCAGAGCTGTGCAAGAGGTGAAAGCATTAAGCTGATGTGAGAGGCTCCATTGGGGTCCGATTTGGCAAGTAACTGGGCAACAACTTAATGTGAATTTGCCTAAGTTCAAACATGAAGTTAATTCTGGTACTTCACTGATATCCGAGAACCAATTCTGATTCTCACCTAAATATTAAAATCATGCTTTTCTTTTCCTCCCTTTCCCCCCTTTCCTCATTTTTCTTTTTTCCCCTTTATTTTATAGTCTGTGGCCCACCTCCAAAAATCAACAATGGCCAGCACTCTGGCTTGAAAACAGAGCACTTCCCCTACGGATCCGAAGTAACATACAGATGCGCAGAGGGTTTGTCCCTCATTGGGGAGTCCTCCATTTACTGCACGTCTGACGACGGGGTAAACCTGATGTGGAGCGGACCTGCCCCAGAGTGCAAAGGTGTGATTCGTTTCCCTTGTACGAGGTCAGATTCGAGTCCAGACCTAGGTGCAATATTAGGTCTAAGCACAAGAGGGTTAGCAGTGAGCAGGGCTACCTGGAGGTCCCGCAGTCTCCTGCAGTCTGCTTTGCAGACGTGACCGCTCCAGATTGGAAGGTGACCCATATGGAAATTGGGACTGTGGTTCTTATACATGGAAGGCCAGAAAGGGGTCAGGAAGAGTTAGCACGCCCCACCTAATCTTGATGGTCTACGATCACCACTGTCACTGGAGGAAGGCCGGCAACCAGATTAACACAAAGGCCTCTGTTTTCTTTCCTCAGTGGTTCGATGTCCAAAGCCAGTAATCGACAATGGCAGGATGACTACACGAAGGCATACGTTTCCGTACGGGGTGGCCGTGCGATTTTCTTGTAACGAAGGCTACGTGCTACACGGCAGTAACGAGAGTCGGTGCCTGGGTGACAGCGCCTGGCATCCTCCTCTGCCGACCTGTCAGCCAGGTGCGTCCAAAGCTGGAGCTGATGGCCCATGACTGGCTAGAGCAGGCTAGGTGGTGACTGCTTTTTTACGTTCCTAACAGTAAGTGGAACTCCTAGTGTTTTCTCCTGTTCCTCCTCCGATTGAATTATTTTCTGGTATGCATTTTCCTTTCAGTTCAGTGTCACCTACCAGTGGGAGATGACCTAGTGCTTTACACTGACAAGTCAGGGTATGAAGTGAACGAAACCCTAACCTTCTCCTGCAAAAGTGATGACAGTCAATTAATAACTTCAAGAACTACCTGCTCAGCTGATGGCAAATGGATACCATCACCCAAATGCGTAAGTACCATCATCTGCCCAGGCTTTTAGTGTATCTTGCCCCATATACAGCCTGGAATAGCACTAGTCCAACTTCTTGAATGTGTTTACTTCATTACAATAGGGCTAGCATGATTAAATAAGTACAGCAGGAAGGGGACGCTCAGTATGTGGGTCCTTTCCTCTAAAGCATAGTCTCATGCCCTATATCTTTGTTTTGTTTCTTTTAAATAAAAAACCCATTCAGCATGATACATGTAAGAAGTTTCTTCAAGCTAGAGAAATTCTGCAGTGTGAAGTTCCTCTGGCAGAACTGAAAAATGTGCTGGAAGTATGGAAATTGTATCTGGAGATCCAGAAACTTGAAAAGAAGCTAAACATCACAGTAAACAGCTGAATGTTGCAAGTGGTATCATAACAGCTATGTTTCCTTTGATGCATGTTGAATAATCATAGTGACTGAGGATTTTTAGTGACTTTGTAATTCATACTAAAACATAAGTAGGCAGAAAAAGAATTAACCAATTAGTCAAGGATATTTGTCATATGGGGAGTCAGAAAGTAAGTTTTTTGGCCCATTATGTTAGAAGTCACCGAGTTAGGTTTGTACATCACCATATACATTTCAAAGGTTCACATTTAGATATGTGTATTTTACTGAGCACTGCACAAATAGAAAGGAACCAGACCAAAAGTAAATTTTTGTCTGAGTCCCACTACAGACAGGAACAGACATTGTAAGAATCACCAGTCCATACTCACCCCACAACTGATGTACATATTTAACTATAATCCCATCTAATCTATTGGCATTCTGTTCGTGTAACGTTTACATCCATTGTTGTGAACAAGCATTTAATTGCCTTGTTAGCTGTCACCTTAAGAGCAGGTAGAATGAAGAGATCATCAGAGCCTGTTTTTTAGCAAAACAAAAATGCCAGGTTTTCTTCCCAAGCAGGACAGATCTATCTCTGGGACTCCCGACAGTGGCACTCGCTGCATTTTTGTGTATGCTCACTTGCACCAAAAGCAGTTGTTGGAAATAAAACTGTAAAGAAAGAAGGGGCTAAATTATTTATTCGATGTCCAGTAAAGGGGAACTGTCCTGTTAACCTACATCTTGTGATCAAGCATATATTTCTTCAGTGCATGATTATAATAAAACTGTAATTCTAGTTAGAGCCGTGTCCTGTTTTTAATAATTCTGTCCTATTTGTAGTAAAGAAAGGAGGTATTTCAGTAATTGTTGCTTGATTAGACATAGAGAGCTCCTGTTTCCTGAGCCAGCGTGCTGCCGCGGCAGGGCTCCCAAGTGTGCCATACGCTATGTGTTCGTGCAGCACCCCTCCTGGCATTCATGGGCCCCCGGGTGAAAAGGCGATGTGAATCAGCAGCACTTGTAAGTGGCCCTCTGTGTTCAGAAATGAGGAAAAGGATGGTGTGGTGGAGCAGGTCTCGCTATAAAATAGCTGTATTTCTCACGGTCCCCACACTGGAAACGTGGCAGAGCACATTCCCTTCCCACGGTACCTCCTAGCTGGAGGGGTCTCCAGAAAGGCAGTGCCAGGAGCACCTGCTGTGGAGGAGCTTGCCATGTGTGTGTGCATCTTGCGGGTCCCCCACCGGGAAACCACGCTGGATTACAGTTTGCTGAAGCTGCCCAGTCCACTGGAAAGAGGCAAAGCATCTCCCATCACTGTGCTAGCTGTGGCTGCATCTGCCACATCCGGCATAGGGCAGGAGGAACAGCGTGGCTCCCGGGTGTTTCTCGTCTGGCCCATCCTCAGCTTCCTACAGCTATTTCCCTTTTCCCCGACGTGTTGTGGCTGGCTTCTCGACAGTGCCACGCTCGCTTTGAGGAGAGACTATTGTCTTCCCAGACAGCACAGTCAGTGCTACCACTGCTCTTCAGCCGGGAATGCTCCTGGCACCATGAAGATATTTTCTTGCTGGGCCTGGCAGCTCCTGGGAGCGGTGGTGCTTGTGCTGGAGCCAGCTGGGAGTCTTGGTGAGTGTCACTCCCTTACTCATTTTCCTTGCTTCTGTGGCTCAGCTTTGCATATTTATCAAATATTTAATAATTGGACTAGTAAAATTCAGTGGGAGACTATTCCTCTGACTTAAATCGTTGCTGACTTCTTCTTGTGTCTGATGATGTGTTCTTGTAAAGACGATCTGAGCTCAGTGGCTGCTGCTAATTGTGCCTTTCTCCCCCTCAGCTCCCCATCTAGGTACTTGCAAAGAGCCACCCAAAATTCCCAATGCTTTCCAAAAGTCCTACGTAGGGGCATTGATTTTTCCGGGGTTAGGTACGGCTGCCTCAGAGGCTATGAGCTCATGCCAGGAACATCCCCAGGACAGGTCACTTGCCTGCAAAACTTCACATGGTCTGAAGTTCAGAACTTCTGTCAGAGTAAGTGTATTAGCCTCTGACTTAATTAGCTTTGCTGGAGCTGAGAATTTGTTGCCAGTATTGGAGGATGTCCCTGTGGTCCATGGCTCGAGATGAGGATTGTGGTAAGAGAGAGAGAGTCATTTAGTCAGCCAGTTAACAGTTTTTATCATCATTTAATTAAAAGGGTCCCAGTTAACAACTTAAGTGCTATCAGGAACAAGCGCTGAGGCAGCCTGTAGAAATCTTGAAAGTGACTGGCAAATTAGTTGTCACGCATCCTGTGGGCTGGCTTCAGTTCATCAGAATTAGAAAGCTGCTCCCTAAAGACTGTAAAAAGAGGAATAAATGGCAGTTTCTGCCTGAAAGTTGACACTTTCTTTAACAACAGGCCTTTTCAAAAACCTTTGTAATGTGCAAAATATTCCCCCCCACCACCATCTCTGCTGTAAAGTGAATCTGCTGCCCCCAGCTGTTAGCACTATGTTTTACACCTTTTTAAAAAAAATTTGTGTTTCTCAGAAGTTCGTTGTCCCAATCCAAACATTACTAATGGAGTGCAGATACCTAAGCCAAGACCTGGAGAAAATGCGTATGAGTACGGAGACACTGTTTCCATTGAATGCAATCCTGGGTATGGCATCAAAGGCAACATCAACAGCTCTGCCCTGATTTGGTGCAGGTATGATGGGAGCTGGGATGCTGCTGTACCAGTGTGTGAACCAGGTTTGTTTTTAACAGAGATGCCCTGTGGCTTAGTGACTGGCTAACTGTTCTAAGGCATAAGGAAATCCCAGTGATATTTGCCCTCAATTTAGTTTTCTCTCTGTTACTGCAGTTTGTGACCAGCCCCAGAATATTTCTCACGGGAGACACAATGGCTGGACAAAGAAGAAGTTTTTTGTTGGGGCATCGGTGATGTACATGTGTGACAGAGGTTACACAGTTGTTGGAGAGCCTCTTATTTATTGTAAAGCTGGAGATGGGGTGCCTGCAAACTGGAGTCACCCTATCCCTGAGTGTACAGGTGAGTAGTGCTGCAACCCACTAGAGCAACGAGTACTAGGAAAGGGCAGAAACAATGTTTGATTGAGTGCAATGGAAACACTACAGCTTTAAAAGTCCTACAGATGATGGGTTCTCAAGCACACTTAGTGATCCCCAATCTCTTTGCCTCTGTTGCTGCATTTGTTAAACTGATTAGTCTTCTCTTACTCATCTGACGGAGGTGCAGTGACAATTGGTCCCCATGCCTGTATTCAGTAAGAATGCCCCTGAAAAGTCCTATTTGTTTGGTGATCCACAGAGGTTCAGTGTCCAGCCCCAGATATCGAACACGGAAGACTGAAGTCTGCACAGAACTTCACCTACAAGAGCACGGTCACAGTCGAATGCGATGCTGGCTACGTCCCCGTGGGTGTGACCACCATTCAGTGCCAGGACAATGGCAGATGGCACCCGCGGGAGCCCACTTGTGTCCTGGGTACACACAAATCTCTTTTCTCCTTACTTTGTCTCCCACATGTAATTCCGTATTTTTATTACATTGTCAGCAGTGACGTATGCTTTCTCTTGATGCTAGATTGTGTATGGTGACATAAGGTGTTTGGGGAGCATGTGCAGTGTTTGCAGGCTAGCTATTAGTGGGTGTGGGTGGGCATTACAATTAGCTGTACTATCTGAAATTTGATGACAGAATACCCTTCTGCTGCTTCATCAACCTTTGGGTAACACTGCAGGTATCTTCAATGAATTACTGCAATTCAGCCCTCCATATCTATGAGTCAAGAGTCACTCAAGTGAGGCAAGGGAAATCTTTGAAGAGAAAATTACTAGAGGATACATCTGATGTGATGGAGAAATGTTATAAAATAAGGACTTTTATTAGATTCGCTGCATCATCTGGAGAATTTTTCATCATCATTTTTTCCATTTGGTTCAGGTCATTCCCTCATATCCCATAGCAATGCTCAGGGATTCCTTCTGGGTTTTATAGCCTCGCAGTTGCCATGCTAAGGATAAGCTGGGTTTCAGCAAAGGCAGGACTTGAGCTTCATCCCCAGTGGGTCTGTGGGTAGTGATCTTACAGCCAACCGAGTGTTTCTGTGTTCCTTGCTCTGGCACCCAGGTCGCTGCCCCTACCCTCCTGCTGTTGATCACACAGACCGAAACCCTCAGCGGGACTTTCCAGTAGGTACAACTGTAACCTACTTCTGCAGATCTGGATACACTTTGCTCCCAGAAGTTTCTCCAAAAACTACTTGTCTTAAAAATTTCACGTGGTCCAAAATCCCAAAGCTTTGCCAGAGTAAGTATTCCATTTTCTCTGCTTTGCCAGGAGAGCATTAGTTAAGTGATGTAGAATAGCACATTAAATGTTTACAAAATACAAACCAGTGATGCTTTGCCATAAGGACTTTATTTAGCCGTGTTTTGGTTCTCAATAATAATAGTTTTGCTGTTCAAAGGGTAGCATGACTGAAAAGAAATATCTGAAACTCATGCTAATTTTTAGTTGTTTTAAACAACGATGCAGTGATGCATCTAGTAATGTATGGTCCCTTCAGTACGATCTATAGCTAATCACGGGGTTCAGACCATTCCGCCTTCCAGGAGGAATGTTTGTTATCATGCAATTGCAGTCTCTTAATGTGCCCGATCTGGTTAGAGACATCTGACAGTACTAATAGGCAGCCTGGCAGATTCTCTTGGTTAACAAGTCATTGCCATGGAAAACATTTCTATTGTGAATGTGTGTTATTATCATTTCCTGACATAAACCATAAAAATTATTTGTTTTGCTGGTGTTTCTCAGAGGTTCACTGTCCAAACCCAGCTATTAACCATGGGAAAGAGATCAGTATCAGGAAAGTGGAATATACCTTTGGGGACCGTGTGGAATTTCAGTGTGATCTTGGCTATGTGCTCAAAGGCAGTCAGAGGATTCAGTGTTGGTCTGATGGGATGTGGCGACCTCCAGTACCGTACTGTGATATGGGTATGTATGAATGAGATGAGTTTTGCTGATACTGAGAAGAATTGTGTCACTGCAGAGCACAGAAACAGCAGTGAGAAAGTCAGATGACCTTAGCAGACTTGGGGCCAAACCTACCAAGAAGCAAAAAAGACTTTAAAGAGAACCTACCTAAGTGTAAATTTCAAGAGCTAATTTTAAGTATAAACTTCAAGAACTGGTTTCTCCTGTAACTTCATTGGATTTCTCAGTGTCCCTAACTGAATGAGAAGATCTTAATTTTTTTTTTTTTCCCCTCTTTTCACTTATAGTCTGTGGCCCACCTCCAAAAATCAACAGTGGCCGGCACTCTGGCTTGAAAACAGAGCACTTCCCCTACGGATCCGAAGTAACATACAGATGCGCAGAGGGTTTGTCCCTCATTGGGGAGTCCTCCATTTACTGCACATCTGACGACGGGGTAAACCTGATGTGGAGCGGACCTGCCCCAGAGTGCAAAGGTGTGATTCGTTTCCCTTGTACGAGGTCAGATTCGAGTCCAGACCTAGGTGCAATATTAGGTCTAAGCACAACAGGGTTAGTAGTGAGCAGGGCTACCTGGAGGTCCCGCAGTCTCCTGCAGTCTGCTTTGCAGACGTGACCGCTCCAGATTGGAAGATGACCCATATGGAAATTGGGACTGTGGTTCTTATACATGGAAGGCCAGAAAGGGGTCAGGAAGAGTTAGCACGCCCCACCTAATCTTGATGGTCTACGATCACCACTGTCACTGGAGGAAGGCCGGCAACCAGATTAACACAAAGGCCTCTGTTTTCTTTCCTCAGTGGTTCGATGTCCAAAGCCAGTAATCGACAATGGCAGGATGACTACACGAAGGCATACGTTTCCGTACGGGGTGGCCGTGCGATTTTCTTGTAACGAAGGCTACGTGCTACACGGCAGTAACGAGAGTCGGTGCCTGGGTGACAGCGCCTGGCATCCTCCTCTGCCGACCTGTCAGCCAGGTGGGTATCAGCAGTGAGCCAGGCCAGCAGCCTGCTGCAGCAGTGCCTGCAGATGCCAAGGGATTGCTCCATGTGGGCAGAGGAGAGGAATTTGCAGAGAAATCGGGGTGTAACGTTGCATAGGTTGTTTATGCTCCAGGCTCCTTGGTGTCTTCCCCTCTCAGCAAAAGAAAGGAATGTCTAAAAGCTGATGCTTAACAGGCAGTAGCTGAATTTTTTTCAACAGTTAAGTGTGAAGGAGGTCTTAGCATATGTCAGGAGAGACCATCCTTGCTGACTCTCTTTTTTAATGGGTAGAAAAGGCCTGACAAATATAACTAACTGACAAATATAAATCTGTAAATTCTTGCATATGGATTCCTTAATTGAAACACTGCCAGTAAACAGCAAATATGTAATAACTCTCAAGTGCCATTCTGACCTTCACCATCCCTTCCTGGAACAGCTTGAGGAAGTAACCGTTTGCTTTAATACGTTGGTTTCACAGGTCTACAGATTTAAGTTCACCTGTACTGACTCAGTCTTCACAAGTTTCATGATTTCTTTTTCTAAGTAATCATAATTCTCTTGCTGAATTGCCTTCTATTGTGTGTTTTCCTTTCAGTTCTGTGCCCAGAACTGCAAGTCAAAAATGGAAAGTTGATTGGAACTTGGGATGGTAACATGCGGTACAGGACAAATGCAACTCTTACTTTCGAATGCCTTCATGGATACCACTTTTCAGGTGATGGAGACATGTCTTTAGCAGACTCTTGGACAGTCACGTGCTTAGCTGATGGCAACTGGACACAGCTGCCCAAGTGTGTAAGTATCATAGTTTGGCTGAGCTTCTGTAAGAATGCTGCCTGATTTCTAACATGCAAAATAACTGCTTCAACTTAAAAGCTTTTGCTTCATTTCAATGATGGGGGACACAGCTGCATTAGGCAGCTGTATAGCAAACTGGATAGAAGCTTAGCCTTGGATCTAGAGAGTGTGTGGATCCCTATCCACTGTACTGCAATTACACATGCCTTTTTCCTCATTTTTGTTTGTATTGTTTTACTTTTTAACAGAAAAAACAAGACAATGCTGCTATATGTGAAGAGGTTGATGATATTAAAGCAGCCTTTGGATGTGGTGTGCCTATAGCGGAAATGAAAACTCTGCTGGAAATACAAAAACTGTTTCTGGAGATTCAGAAACTAAAGGTGGAACTAGAAAACTTGCAGTGAATGAGTGAGTCCTGTAACGTGGGCTATAAGAAATCACCTTTCCTTTGGATGCAGTTCATATAGTCACCGTGTCTATAAGAAGGCTCTTAGTGACTTTATGGTTCACGCTTACATAGATATAGCCACAGAATATTAACCAATGTATGCAAGATCACTTTTGGTCATGCTAGATGCCATAGAGCTAGAGCACAGACCTACAGAGCTACAGCATAGAGGATTTCTTGCTCTTTTCTTTAAATAAGTCAGGCTTCATTCCCGACTTACTAAACTTGCTGTTTGACATTATGTTTTAGGAATCATAGTAAGAAGTTAAACTGAGCTGCTTTGTTCCACTGAATGAACTGTGCCAAGGCAAGAGAAGCTGGACTGAACTATGCGAAAACAAACTTAGCTGATAAAGGTTTCTGGCTGTGATGTAGTTTTCTCTCTGGTGGTTTACACGTGTGCCTCACCCTCTGCCTGTCTTGCACTTCTAAGCATTTTAATCTACCTGAATTCAGCCTATCATAACATTGATATATTTTATCTATCCAGAAATAGCAATTAATTGACTATTTAACTACATGTTTTCTATTAATCTAGTTTAAGGGCAATTGCACAGAAGAACTGCATCTGTAAAGACTTGTAAAGCTTATTCTCTTATCCTTAGATTTAAAAGAGGCAACAGGTTTCTATCTCAGCACTGTACTTGTCAGATATCTGTGCTGATATCGCTTTCCGTTTTGCTATGTCTGCAAGCAAATGCTGAGAACAGATGTTGTAATTTTAAATGTAGAGAACCAGACAGCTAAGATTTTTCTCACTGTCCAATAAACAACAATCGCTTTGTGCACTTCTGTGATGAGGAAGTTAATTCCATGCAGGATTACAATAAAGGTCAAGGTGCAATTGTGCATGTCTCATAACTCTGTCATGTTGGCTGTAAACTAGGAAGGTTTCCAGCGTGGTCAAATGGTCATTTGGATTAAGAGCGAGGAACGGGCAGCCCAGGTAACTGCTTCATGGGCGAGGGGACGTGGTAATGAAAGCCCCCCCTGTGAGGACGGCCCTGGCTCTCCCCGCGCCAGGAGGATGAGCAGTGCTGCGCTCTCTTCTGCTGAGACACCGTGTTCGCTCTTCTGTGTTGTACGCACCTGTGATTACCAAGCAGAAAGTGCCTTGTCTCCCTATGCAATGTGAGCAATCTGCAAGCACAGGTAAGAGTGGGGTGTTACATCCTGCTGCGTTTCTGAGGTGACTGTGCTAGAGTACTCGTGGCTGACGTCAGGTGGGACATGCCAGCATGCAGATGTATTCACTCACACCCGTTCTTAATTACAAATGAGTCAGGCAGTTAGGGAAAAAAAAAACAGAGAAAAAGAGTGACCCTTTTTTATTTTTCATTTGAATCACCCTGGATTACTGAAGATCTGTGCTGCATTACCTGCCAGCAAATGACTCGTATGCCCTTTGCTACTTCGGATACGACTTGGGGCAGGAGGATGTTCTTTTCCACCCTGGTGCTGTCCATTTTTAGTAAATCTGTGCTAGTTAGCACTTGCTGCCAGTCTTAGATCCAATAAAAGGGTTGAGTTAATGCCAGGGACCTGTACTCCTTCATGTTGGGCAGGAGGACCTGGAGATGTTGCCCAGGTCTGCCGATATGGCAGCTTCCCCGTCACCCCGGCTGGCCCCAGCTCTGCTCCAGTGTCTCTGCGGGAGCTCGTCAGCTCCATGTGTGCTCTGGGAAGCGTTCCACCACGCTGGAGGCTTGGTGGAGTCGCTGCAACGCTGCATCTCCTCCCAGGCTCGGAAATAGCCTCTCAGAGCTAACAGTGCGTGGCAGAAGGGCAAGGAAACTGCTGCGATGAAGCCGCAAGAACGGGGTCGGGGGAAGCACCAAGTTGGTACAAGCGGCCATGCACCCACGGCTGTGACGCAGGGGGCTCGCTGCCCCGCACTGCTCCTGGGGCTGCTGGGGCTCTTACACCTGCCTGCTGCTGCTGGTGAGTTCAGATGTGCAGCATGTGTGGGATGGACACGGGAGGCCTCCCCAGCTCCCCCTGGCTGCCCGGCCTGAGCTGGGCAGGGTGAGGGGGCCACCTCCAGGCACCGTTCCTGGTGCTCCCGCAGATCCAGCCCTGCTCGGGCAGGGGTCCTTCGGGAGTGAAGGCAGCTGGGGGAGGGCAGGGAATGGGGCCATCACCCAAAGAGCTTTTCTTCTGCCTGCAGGTGACTGTGGGCCTCCACCCCGCATGACCCATGCCAAGCCGTCTGGCACCAACCTCACCGGCAGCTTCCCCATTGGATCCAAGGTCACGTATACGTGCCTTGAGGGCACCATCAAAGTCCCTGGGAGGTCGGACACTGTGCAGTGCCTGCCTGGTCCTCACTGGTCGGAGCTGCCGGAGCTCTGTGACCGTAAATACTTCCTTTCTCTGAACCAAAGTTCCCTTCTCTGGCTCTTGCTTCGCTTAAAGCTTCTGCCCGTTGTGGTGGCAGTTCTGCAATGGCACTCTCCATCCTGGCAAGGTACAAAAAGGTTTCCTTTAGCTGCCGTTCATGAGACCTGCTGATAGGTGCTGGATCCAGACCAGACATCAGCAGGGTAAGTCAAGCTGGAGCCCGCGGTGCTTGCGCGTCCTCTCTGCCCTGGCTGGCAGATGCTCGCTTTGGAGAGAGCTGCCTCGTACACCATGCTTCTAGCATATCCCACGAGTCCTGGTCTCCTGTTAACAGCTTCTCCCTGTGCACTTAACGCATCTTGATCTGGGCCTTGCAACAGCTCTGTCCAGCAGAGCAACAGCCCGGTAAGAAAACAGAGGTCACCTGCTATGCATTCGGGAGCTTTCCAAGAGCACCGCAGCGAGAGCGCTGCTGCACTCACAAGCTTTGTTGGTGTCCCTCGAGATGGCCAGCTCTTCCAGGCTGGCTTTCCTTGCCCACCAGGCAGCTGTGCTACCCCCATGAGCCTGCGCTTCGCTGCCCTCTCTGAGAAGGACCAGTTGAGGAATATCTACCCTGTTGGGATCACCGTGAGCTACCTCTGCCGCCCCGGCTACGAGAACCTCACGGAGAGCTCTCCCACCAGCACGTGCCTAGAAAATTTAACATGGTCGCAAGCTCCTGAGTTATGCAAGAGTGAGTATCCCTGTCCCTGCTCAGGCTCTGTCTGTCGATAAGCACCTGTTGAATTCAGGGCCCGCAGGTTACTCCAGCCCGCGTGTGCTTCAGTTTAGTCTGAAATATAGCCAGGTTACTATCACTCCAACAGCTGCATTTTTAATATAAATATGTAATATCAAGGCATATCCACCTAATTTTAAGGCTTAAAAAGCAGAAGTATCAATAGATTGTCTTGTGTGGGGGGGGTGTCTGTGGGTGTGTGTTGGCACAGCACAACAGATCTGTTTGGATTTTCATGTTAGGGAACATGTTCACATCTGGATGCAGCATGTGCCCAGTGCAAATGCCAATTTGTAGGGAGTCCAGTGTTGAGCTTCAAAATGGAGATAAATCATATTTCTTAGTGAAATCTGTAAGTTGTTAGGACTGATGATGTGGCCACAGCACATTTTTCACAACTGGGTAGCCTACCTGTCAGACTATCGAGATGAAAATATCTCTGTCAATATCTTTCTCTGCAACCCTGCGAGAGCCCTACCGCTGTCAGCTGTGAGCGTCCAGCCCTGGCTGGGACTTGCACCTTCACCCCAAGCTGTGATCCCGGCAGCTGCCTTTCATTAGCTCTGCTGTGACGCGTGCGAACAGAAACGCTTCGTTACCTTCGGGTGTAACCTCGTACATCCGTGTCCTGTGTGAGCCTCTGTTATTTTTCCATCACAGCAACGGATGCGACTGCTAACACTGGCCTTGTTGTCTCTCAGAGAAATCCTGCGGCGACCCCGGGGTGCTGCCCCGGGGCAGAGCTGTGATTCTGACAGACGTTCTGTTCGGCGCAAGGGTGAACTTGTTCTGTGAGGACGGGTGAGTCGGGGGCCGCCTTTGGGGTCAGCGCGCTGAACTCCCGTATACAAACGCTGGTGCTGGAGCATAAACCCTGGCCTGACCTTACAAAGCGTTTAGGGCTAGCACAGTGAACAGATGGATATGGGCTGGGCTGCTATTTTGCAATATGTTCCCCCATGCAGGGTTGCTTCAAGTGAAGAGCTTGTGACTAAGGCACAGCTGGAGGGAGGGGACCAGGATCTGAATTTACAATGCCCTTTTCCTTCAGGTACCATCCAGAGGAAGTATAACTACCCTAGAATATCTATCCCAACAGGGCTTGTTGTACCAGCAGTTTATAACTACAGATTTCAAAATTGGATACCTAAAATATTACTGGAACTTAGAACTGAATTTTATTCAACTGGCCTTTGAGGGCGGAAGTCTGTATCCTACCCTATGCTTTTGCATGATGTCTTATCTGTTGTAGTGTCAGTACTGCCTGCACATCAGTTCTCAGCATTAAGTTGGACACATCAGAAAGTGAATCAATTACCTTCATGGTTTCTTGAGGTATGTGTTTAGCCAGCCACGCGAGCAAGGGTCTACCCTGTTGGAAACCTGTGGTTCCCAAACCATAACTGGGATTCAGAGAACAAGATATCTATTGCATCGTAAAAAGTGTGGGGGGGAATTTTAAAATTTTGAACCATTAACCGGTTAAGTTTGTTGGATGTTCTCAAGCTAGAGAAAATGAAGCACACTTTCCACCCATCAGTGATCTGACTCATACTTTCTGCCTGCTTTCAATCAGTCAGGGCACACATGCAGTAAAAGACAGTGATTTGCAAAATTATACCCTTAAATTTCTGACTAGTATTCCTCCCTCCTGGGTAGGAACTAACTGGCATCATCTAGCTGCTTCTGCCTGTTTTTACAGACGTTTCAAATATAACAGCTTTTCTTTCCAGATACTCCCTTAGAATGGTCTCTAGGGAAATGACAGCATGTCCAGCCCCTCCGTGCTTTGAAAATAAATAGCAGGGTGGAGGGATAACATTATCCACCTCAGTAGCTGTATTCAAATGATGAATTTTTAGAACAGGAGAAAGTTAAGTCAGAGATTGGGGAAGAAGTCATTCAGTGCTGCCAGGACAAGATGTGTGGGCTTCCAGTGAGCAAATCTAGTAGCCACTTCAGTGAAAATGTACAGTAATATTGCTCCTCATCCATCCCTGCTGTATGCATTGGTGCATTTAAATATTTGCAGAAATTAGCTGAGCAGGCAAGCAAGCAGTCTGCTATCTTTTGCTTTTCTGGCAAAGCTCTAGCAAAATAGCTACAACCTTGACCTAATGGCAATGCACTGGTGAGGAGAAGGCAATGAAGGACCCTGGGCTCCCTGCCCTCTGTGCTGCCTGATGTTCGTTGTGCTCTTCACCGGCCACTCACTATGACTTCTCCCATCCTCACAATGAAGGAAGTACTCCACAATGAGAGTCAAAGGAGGGAAGCACTTAAAAATAGATTAATAATGATTCTAGTCCTGAATAAGGTGAAAGATCTCCCTCGTTAGCCAGCTTCTGTCTGCACATCCGCTTGCTTTAAATTGCCTTTTCTATGCTACTAATCACACTGGTATCAGGGGAGAAAATATTGTTCTCAGTTTCTGAACAGTTGCACAAATTGCTCTTTTCTTGTACATTTTCACTTAGGTACAAATTAAGTGGGAGGCATTTCATCCAGTGTCAGCTTAAAGGAGACAACGTTGAATGGAGCAAATTTCCAACTTGTGAATGTAATGTTAATCCAGCTGTACTTTTGTCTTCTCTCCAAAAGTCCTTGCCTGCTAAAGGCTAATCTAAACCTGTCTTCATAGTTTGTTTATTTTTCTTGATGTTATGCCGAACGGGCATATTTGGCCGATTTGTCACAAACACTGCAACAGAGAAATATCCATTTTGCAACTGATACTATATTTCAGCAACTCAGTTTTGTTCCCATGAAATCAACGTATTTTTATTTCTCATGACTTAAGGTTTGCAGTGAAGGTGATGTTATGAGATTTCTAGGAATCATGAACCAGGGCATGGCAACCTGCCTGTTTATTTTTATGACATCCGGAACAAGAGGGGAAAATAACTCAGAACAGAAACACTTCAGAAACAAAAAGATGATCTAAACAACAGGCAGTGCTAGCTCCCCATCTTCAATTGTCCAAAAGGTTTATTCTTTTCAAGAGTCTTAGGAAAACTTTTAATACTTAAATATTTTGCATTTTAATTTTTAGTAAAGCTTTTAGAAATACTAATTTTAGCCTTCTTTCACGCAGTAATTACCTGCTTTCCACCTCCTCAAATTATCAATGGAAAGCATGATGGTGAAGGTGTAGCAAAATTTGCTTATAACTCAACAGTGACTTACAACTGTGATTCTGGCTTCCAACTCAGTGGAAACGTTTCCATTCGTTGTACAAGTACAGATAAAATGAGCGGAGTCTGGAGTGGAGCTGCGCCTGAATGTAAAGGTGGCTATCGTTTGAGTTTAGTGTTTATTGTGAGTTTAGTGTTTAGTATGCATGAGCTAAACATATTGTGGTTGCTTGATATAAATGTAAGTCATATTGCAATTTGAAAAAGAAAAATGCATTGATACCAAACCGAGTATGGAATGAACTGTCTGTAAAAGAACGATGTCGTGCTTTTAGCAGTTCTTACTGTTCTTTTTATCATAGAGAAAAGAACATCTGTCAAACTTGGATCAAAAGAAATGAAAAAGAGTCCTGCTCTCAAAGGTGAGCTGAAATGATTCAACATTGAATTAAGCCCCACGTTTCCAGACTTAATTAGCTGCTTTATCAGACCTCTACGAAAAAGCGCTTCAATGAATTTCATACCATGATTTTCACTCTTTTCAGATTCCTATGGCTACAGCATCCAAGCATCTAAGAAGGCTTTCAAAAAGAAAATGAAAATCAGCCTCTATAAAAAGTCACTCCAAAATACCATCTCCTCTCATTCTTCTTCATTCTCCAGGGCACCAGGTCAGTCCCACCACATCTCCTGAAACTCATTTGGAGTCCAGGGGAATCTGTTATGGAACTCAATGTTTACTCCTATCCCTACAGCTGCAGCTTTCATTTTTTCACACATTTCTCTTTCATGTTAGGTAATTGTGTTACCTCAGCATTCAGATTTGTTGTACCTTTGTATAAAAGCCAGAATTACTACTACCCTGGAAGCAGCCAAAGATCTGTATGTCCCCCGAAGTACATGGGAATTTCTGGCATTCTACCCCAGGCTGACTGCTTTGAAAACCTAAAATGGTCAAAAGTTCCAGCACTTTGTGGAAGTGAGTGACTTTTTTTGTCTTGATTGACATTGCTTTCTTCTGTAAGCTTTCTTTGTGCAGTTTGTGTTTTTTACTTAGAGGGCATCTGGTTCAGAGATCAGGTTTGACTGCACTGGCCTTCTCTTAGAAATCTTTATTTTGTATGAAATGTATTATTTTTCATTTGTCAATTGTTTCTTTGCCCTTGTATTATTAGGGATGTTGTTTAACACAGTTCTTACCATATTCAAAAGCAAGAGATAATGCTATACTGTATAGCCTCAAGAGTGCTGTTTTTTTCTGTCCTTATCACGGCCACATGAAATAATAACCTAATGCTAACCTTGTTCTGTGCTAGCAAGATCATGGGCAGCCAGGAGAACCAGAACATGGCAGAAGTGCTGTTACAGCAGATTTCCAATTCGTTGCAAAGGAATATTTTACCTGTAAAATGGGTGAGTGTCAGTTGTGTTGGAAATGGTGTCTGAGTGGGAACCACAAGCATATAATCATAAGTAATGAAGCATGGCAAAATACCCGCCAGAGGATATAGCTCTAGGACTGGAGACTTGATGAAAAGCATTTCCCTGGTATGTGGGTTAAGCTAAACTTGACCATTCTTGAGCCATGTCTCTTACATTCAAAAAAAAAAAGGGGGGAGGGGATCCCGTTCTCTCACCTGTGTTGCATTAGTGAAACCCAGGATCAGAAACGCTCTCATCCAGCTTCAGCATGGCCACGTAGCATTTTGCTTGCTGCTCTGTCATTTCTCAAAAGCGGGGCTTCTTCCATGCAATACTTCTCAGATCTGCTAGCATTGCTAGGTTGACAGTTACTGTGGACCAAAAACTCGATGTATTTCTCTAGACTATTAAACAAGGAATCAAAGAATCTCATTTACCCTGTTAAAGGAAGGTAACTGGACAGCTTTTTAGCAAGTGCATGTGTGTGCTCATGTAGGAGAGATGTGTAGGAAAGAAATTTCAGTGCTACCAGCGTATGAAAAGAGTTTCAAAGAAGGATTTTACACGCTTTAAAGGAGATGAAGCTTTGCAATGTTGGGTCCTTGGTAGTAATAAATGAAGGTTAGAAGCATCCTAGATTACACAATGTGGAAGGAAAGTGGGGAAACTTGTGTTCTATTTCTTGCCTAGAAGTTCCTACTTTGCTCTATTATATTACTTCAGAATGAACATTAATTTAAAAAAAAAAACCCTCTTGCTGTGTTTTTTTGTTCTTTTTAAAAATATTTTTATCAGTCTTGGCACTTTTTCAGGAGACTGTGTCAAATAAGCAGCTTGGCATATGATCTAAAATCAGCTACACCACGAGAAATGCCTTGTACTTCAGGGACTCAGCTCTACTCCCCCAAAATACGAGTCCTATAAAATCAGCGTGTCAATGCCAGCGGGCTGGAGCAAGTGATGTGGAGGGGGAAAAGTGGAGCAATGCCTGAAAACTTCCTCCTGTATTTGAGGGAGGAAATGGCTCGGACATTTCTGAAGCGCAGTGCTAAAATACACCCCAAAAACCAGGTGGCTTTCTCCTTCTTTGAAATTCTGGGCAAGAATCTGCAAGCAGAAAGCTTCACTCTCCTTGAAACTATGGCTAGGCTAATCTTGGTGAGAATATTTCTTTCCCTCAGACTGCTTGTATGGCCCAGGGGACACACGGTGGCAAGCGTGCGGAAAGATTTATCTGTAGCTTCGGAGCAGTTTGCGTGCTGTGGCATCTCTCCTCCAGTGACACCGTGGCAGAAGGACACCAATGGAGGAAGTGCTGAAAGGAGGCGTTTGCGGTTTACTGGTGTGACTTCAAAGACCACTGTCATGCGCTCTAAGATGCTGCTGCTTTTCCTACCATCTGACTGTAAACATAACAATGACTAAATAAGCCGTTCAGTGTCAGCCTACGTGTCTAAATATATCGTTCTCTTTCTTAAAAAAACAGCACTGTAGGCACAAACCATATAAAACCATCCCCATGTTCTGTGTGTGAAGCGCTCCACGCAACGATCATACTTGTTAGGACTCTCACACTTTGCTTTAAAACAGAGAAGTGAGATTAGATCTGTCTCACATTCACATATACCATGTATTTTTTCTAACTGTAGTATGTTTTAAAGTTCTGAGAAATTGGTTGAAAATTACTTAAGTAAGAGTTGGTTATTTTCCATAGTTGCTTCTCCCACCTGAGATTTTCTCCCTTTCAGCAGTTTCCTTCTAACACCGCAAGCACAGTTATAATTCCTAGTGATGTGATTTGACTTTTTTCAGACTCAGGGAGGGAAGGTGAAATTTCTCAGGAGCCCTTTAGGCCTTCTTGAGAATTTCTGAAGGATCTCGGTAACGTCACGATCACTTTGATTAGGAGTTTCCCCTGCCACAGATTTCCTCACTCGCTGGCACATAGACCTGCTACCATAGCAATCAACATAAACACACAGACACATGGGATGGGCTGTAGGAAAGACCCAGATATCAAACTCAGGACTTATTCTCTGCTGGGCCAAGTCACTCCCTTAACATTAGGAATTCCTCACTGTCAAAATACTAGTTCCATTGCAGATATATCCATATTAAATATCAGCATGGTTTTGCTGAAATCAAAAGATTGGCTTCCTTGCCTTGCTAAGCTATGTACTCGTTTCTTGTAGGAGATCATAGTACCTTTCATATCAAAATGAATGTAGGATCTTCACAGTTTCAATACTTTTAGCACTTTCTTTAGCAAAAGCTTGTTTTTGTATCAGCCATAAATATTGATTCTTTGCAGTTTATATTTCTGTTATTGCTACATGAAAGATAACAGCCAAGAACGGTGTGTGTATCTAGTATTTTGACTGTGCAAAATAAGTACTTCTGCTTTTCAAATAGAGGAAGCTACTCATTGTCAGAAAGCTGTAGATGATAAGCACATTGAGCGTGTGCAGGCTTCTATAACACTAACTGCTAAATATATTATCTTTCAAGTGTTGTCACACTGCAACAGACCAACCAGAAATGTCTATTTTATGTTGTTGACTGATTACAGTCTGTGTGTTCTATACCGTATACGAATTGCCTTATATTTACGTGGCATTCTGGGTTTTTCTATACATTTAAAAAAGTAGTTGTAGCGTGAAGGACAGCTCTCGAATTAGTGCGCCCGCTGTTCATTTGCATATCTTGCACTCTTTTCAGGAAGGTATCAGCGCTCAGAGATATCGAAATAATGCGATAGTTAAAGCAAATGCTCAGGTTTGCTGCTCGACACATTGTTTATCGGGAGTCTTCCTTGCTTATTTATTCCCTAAGCGGCCTGCTAGGCGAGTTCAACTTGGAAGAAAACCACCCAGAGCTCAGGGCTGGCAGCGCGCAGGGATCGCTCCGGGCGCTTGCGGGAACCGGCCGGGTCACCTTGCACGCCCTCCGTCTCGTCGCCGAAGGAGCGGGCGGGAGGGAGGGTGTATTTCGGTGGACGGCCAAGAGCCGCGCTGGCAGTTCCGCCCGCTGCTTTGTCTTTAGGTAGAGAAAAGCAGCGACAGACTGCGGGGATATCTCTGGCCACCGGCAGTGCAAAAGTGAATTGACAGGGGCGTTTGCAGCAGGCAAGTGCAAGATTTTGTGCTGTAGCTCACGGGAGGCATTAAAAAAGAGCTGTGGCACCCCTCTGTCTCTTAGATTTTGGGCCCTCAAATAGCAAAATGCAGTGACCCCAAAGCTGGTTTTGCTGTCACCTTAATATCGTTCTGGTTCGTGCCTGGTCACGCTCGAGCGTGCGGCGGTGGTGCAGGTGGGCGATCCCGCGAGCGAGGCTCGGCTGTGGGCGCCGTTGCACTTCAGCCTTTGCCATCTGCTCGGCCCGCTTTCTTTCACGCAGCAAAGGGATGTCGGAGCAAGATAAAAACAAGTTGTCTACAGCCGAGCAGACACGGCCCCGTTATCAACAGGCTCAGCTGCCCTTTGTGCGCGTTTCCAGAGCAGCTTCTGGCGCCCGGAGGCTTCGCTGCCTGCTTGGCGCTGCTGTGGCGGCAGTGAAAGCGCTGCAAAGTTCAGCAGAAAATGTGAGCGGCAGAAACGCACAGAGACCCGGGAGGCGTGAGCCCGGGACGGTCCCCATAGGTGCAGGCATCTCGATTTCGGACAGACAGAAGGGTATGGCTGCAGGTACGAGAACAGAGTAGGCAGTTTGGAGGGGCTGCTAGAAACTTTGTTAGCAAAGCGCACACTATTGTAAGAATTCTTTGCCCAGCGCTTCTCCCTGTTTTGTTATCTTGTGTTGAGGTCAGTGCTATAATCCATCGCAGTAAAATTCCTCAGCCTGTTGTTAGCAACTTCCTTTTACATGCTAGAGTCACTGCTAAGTCTCACCTCAGTGGCCAAGTGATCTGCAAAAATACGTGACCAGGTCATTTTCCTACAGTTTGTCAATACGCTCACAAATGGTTATTTTAAAGGAATATGTAATCCAGGCTGCTTCACTCCTTGCTTAAGAAAACACATCTGTCCTCATTGCGAATGCTTTTGTTACCTGTAATCAGAGATAAACTTTATCAAAAAAGTGATATAAAGTAAAAAAAAGCAATAAAAATGGATAGAATAGCTTTGAGCTTCTCAGTGGAAATATCGCTGTTTCCTGGAAAGACAAAAGGCAGATAGAGAGGGGCAGGAAGGTCCCAGCAGGGCCGGGCGGCCCAGGGACCTCGCTGCCCATCGGTAGGCCTGTCAGTGTCTCCTCCGAAAAGCTGAGTTTCACTGGGAGTGTCACAGTGGAAATGCTGTCATCCTAACTGCTTTTTCTTTCTTTTCTTTTTTTTTTTATATGCATTAATAAAAATAGTTCAATTATCAGCTTCCCAGTGAGCCTTGCTTACAGCTTACCTCTGCCCTGACCTAGCTGTGCGTCAGTCCGAGCAGAAGGGCCCCTCTCTCCTTCCTTCTTGCAGGAAAATCTCCCTTCGAGGGGGTCTTTTTCTAGGGATGGGCAAGCGATGCCAGGAAGACGAGCCCGGCTGAGCCGGGGCTTTGGAGCCACCAGGAGCTGCCCCACCACGAGCCGATCCCCCGGGAGCCGTCCTGTTCCCCGCCGCAGCGTGAGAGGCGAGTGATGGGGAGGGCCGGGGAGCTCCTCTGCCCCTTCCAGCTGGCCTTCACAGCCTGAGCTGGTAAGGCCCAGACGCTGTCCTCTTCAACCCCCTTCTTCTTGTTATGTTTGCAACTTGGTAACTTTGGAAATGGATGTGTCTTTACTGGCAAGGGCAGAGAAACAATTTGCAGGAGAGGCAGCGGGTGTGCGAAGGGCCCCACCGCATTTCTCTGGACGACAAGTGGGGCTTCTTTGGGAACGCACCAAAGTAACTGTGTACCTCAAACCGTTTCCACCTGCACATGAGAGAAGACTTCACAGAGTCGGAGATGAAACGGAGGAGACGGAGGTGGCCAGGGTTTCCGTGCAAACAGCCCCGAGGTGAGGCTCTGCCGTCAGCCAGGCTGCCCGCAGCTGGGCGCGCCGCGGTTGCAGCTCTTTCCTCCCGCTGCCCAGGCCGGTCAGCAGCTTCCCAGCTCCCACTCGAAATTTTTGAAAAACTGCATCATTGGGAGGAGGCGACTGCCGGGAGGGCCGGTGCCGGGCTCCGCCAGC